AAACTAGCAGCCAGCACAAAAGCACCTAGGTCTCCGATAATGGCTCTCATTCCTGAAGTGGATTTGATGAAATGCCACCCAAAATACCCTTCTGAAGACTTAGATAGGGCCAATGAATGGGGATTTAACTGGGGTCCTGCCCATTCTCAGGACGCCGACTACCACTACACCAAAGAAGGATGGATTTATAATAGGCAAGGAACAATTCTTGTCCTTGAACATCTTATGGAAGATGTAATAAGTCACATACATCAGAGCAGCCTGTATGGTAGGGATGCCATCTTCCAGTGGATTCAGAAACTCATTATAAGACCAAATATGCAAAGGACCATTCCAAAGGTGATTCAGAAATGTATGATATGTGCCAAAAATAACCCAAAGGTGGGACCCCCACCAGTATTAAAAGGAGTCCAATACAGAGGAACCGGAGCTGGGGAAGATTGGCAGACTGATTTCACAATGATGTCAAGAGCCACTGAGAATTTCAGCTATTTTCTGGTATTCATGGACATGTTTACTGCTGGGTAGAAGCCCTTCCCTGCTGGTCTGAAAAGGCCTCTGAAGTGGTTAAAGCCCTATAAAAGAAATAATTCCTAGGTTTGGATTACATTTGTCTATTCAGAGTGACAACGGAAAGGCATTCATAGCAATCATTACACCAGAGATAGCTGGTACCTTGAATATTTGCTAGAAACTACATGGGCCTTTTTGGTGGCCACAGTCTACTGGCCAAACAGAAAAGATGAATCACACCCTTAAAAAGTCTTTAAAATTTACCAAGAGACTAATTTAACTTGGGACAAAGCCTTGCCAGTTACCCTGCTCTGTGTGAGGGTAGCCCCTAAAAGCAAGCTCCAGTTATATGGGAGACGCTTCCTATATTTTAAATATGCCTTGGGGGATCTGGACGGAACTCAGATTAAAGAACTAGACACTGTCAGGTATGTACAGTCTTTGAGAGCTACTCTAACTGCTATTCATGAGTTTGCCTCTAGCAGGTTAATGTATCCCATAGATGTTCTTCTGCATCACTTGTGTCCTGGAGAAATAAGCATCTGGAGGACCAGCTCCACCCCCACTGGACTGGGCCCTATGAAGTGCTGCTGGTAACCCACTGCTTGATAAAGCTGAAAGGAATTAAGCCATGGATCCACCATACTCAAGTTAAGCTGGTCCCAAGAGAACCATCAGACCCACCACGTCCCATCTATTAGAATACCATGGGAAATGGGAACCATGCTGTGGAAGAACATCATAGCCAAGATCATCCTAACCTTGGCTGGTTCCATACTCCAGACACTGATTTCTCCTTACTACCTGCCTCTTATTCTTGTGAACCCTTGACTGACTTAAAGTTCCTTTTCAGGAAATGGAAGAAAATTCAACCAAAGTCTTAGGTAATGAGAGACGTGCCAAAGGTCGATTAGGGTTCTTACATCCTAGCCGCACTTTACTAATTGCTCTCTTTTTCATATTTCTCCATTTCTTACAGACCAGCTGTGCATTCACTGGCACACTATGAGGGTTGAACCATTTTCTTTGCAAGTACCAGATAAGTAACTCCATAGCCTATTGCTAATCTTTTAGAACTACTTCTCTAACAATCATGATTTTATTGAGGTATGGTTTCATCTTTTCCCTGATCAATTATTTCATCCCTCTTTACTGTTGGAAGGATAATTCATTTGTGAGAATCTCCCAGTCTTTGGCAAAAGCAGGAAACCTCACTGAATGTTGGATATGTCATCAAAAAGTTCACTCAGTACATGAACATTAGGACCCTATAGTAATCCCCGTAACAAACTTTACCAGCATACCAAACATTAACTAATTATTCCAGCTCACCAACAAACACAAGTTATAGACTGAGGCTGCTACATCCTCACTCCCCCATATCCTGCATGTACATATCCACAGTGACAGCTTATTTTACGTAGCTAAGAAATCTTTCAAATATCATGAACAAATTCAAATCTTTCCATAATTTCAAAGGAAAGTTTCCCTGAGTGCTCTAAAGAAGCAACAGATTTATGGTTAAATAACATAAAAGTTCAAATGCTTACATCAGGAATCAGGAATCTAAATCTGTACCTCACCTGGTTATATTTTTGTTTGTGGGTTTGATCATCAGTGTTGGGCCTACAGTTGCCTGGCTACTTGGCTCATATAGTGGTACTGTCTTTTGGAGTACCTGGCTACACCTATATCTATGTATAGCTCAGTAGAGACCCAGCATAGGATCAGTTCTTTAAAACTTTTTTCCAGAACTAAGTGGTCTATGCCAGATATTGCTACCAGTTACCTGAGTAATTTTCAAGAAGATGATGCCAGATATTTCTTTGGACAAACTTTATTGCCTTGGTGGGGTGTTGCAGCCCACAAGCACATGATAGAGAATCTCTCTCTCACCTTAGGGATACTCACCAGTGAAACTGCACAGGCAATAGCAGCCCAGCGGAGAGCATTAGCTTTCATCAGGAGGGGTCATCCTGGACAGTCAGATAGCTTCAGACTATATCCTGGCTGAACAAGGAGTTTGCGCAATAGCTAACTCATCATGTTGCATATATATTAACAGCTCATCAGAGGTTGAGACTTACGTAGAGAAAATCAGAGAACAGGCTACCTGGCTACAGGAAGTATCCCCAGAGATGCTGAGTCCAAACTCATTTTCAGGACTGTTCTCTTGCATTCCCCAGGGGATCAGTTCTATTCTGCAAGGACTCTCAAAATTCGGTTGTCTATACTTCTCCTTCTGGTTGGATACTTGATTACAAAATGTGCTTTTAGACGACGTACCAAAACTGTTGAACAAGATACAAAAATTCTAATAATGTAAAATGTCAACCTCAAGCCAGGAACAAGAGAATATTTCCAACTGAGTGCTAAACAGTTCCATTCCTCTAACCCAGATCTATGCCCTAATTCAGTAGGAATTAGCTAGATTGGTCATCACCCCAAATCCCTTAAGAATGAGGAATAATCAAAGAATAGGGGGATTGAAACTGGTGGCCCAATAGCCATTAATGATTATTCTTAAAAGTCATGTAGATAAACAATATATTATCAGAATCCCACCAGGTTTCTTATAGATAACATCTCTCACTCTTGGGTCACCATGGTAATGGGTGCTTAAGTTGTTTTTCAGGAACTGAAAGCTGACTCCTTGTCCAGTTCAGGCTGGTTGAGACCATTGACCCATCAACTGGGCCTGTGCAAATGTCCAGTAGGTGACCCTTTGACATCAGCAGGTCAAAAACTCCACCCTCAAATCACGCTGATGCCACCATTTTGTGAACATGTGTCCTATGAAGAGCCATGAAGCTCGACTACTCTTGCATAGATCATCAGTTACCTCACTTTTCCTTACCTCCAATCATCTATCCCCACACTACAGACCACCCTGCCTCTTTATCCCATAAATATCCCTAATCCCCATTTTTGAGGAGGTGGATTTGAGACTCAGTCTCCCATCTTGGCAAGCCTTGTGAATAAACCCTTTCTCTGCTGGTCTTGGTGACTGGCATACGGTGTAATGGGCAAAACGAGCCTGGTTTGGTAACAGGGTGTCAATAGAAAGAATATGGAGGAAAAAGTCTTTTAAGTACCTATATTGCACTACTTACCAAAGATGGGCACTCAATTTGATTTGAGTCATTATAAATTAGAGTTTTTAGCATATAATAACCCTCAAAGAAAAACTTTATTGGAAAGTAGGGCAAATTACCAAGATTTGAAGGAAGAAAAAAATAAAAGTTCAAAGTATAGGCTCTTGGTTTAATTAGAAATGGGACTTTTTTGGTGGTTTGTGATTAGTGAGCTATACTGTCACTTTGTGGTGCTACCAGTCTCATTTTTCCATATTATTAGCAGTTGGGAGTCCCTTTGAAAAAGAAAATAGAAAACTTAAGAAAAACAAATTATAGTTTTGAAATTCTACCATTAAGGATTATGTCTTAAAGAGAAGGCAAAGTGAGAATAAAAATTTCTGTCATTATAAAATAGAACAATCAAATGTACAAAGCATTTAGTTTAAATTTAATCTTCATTTTCAACTAATCTTTAGTATTTCAGAAAGTATATCAACATTGCCTAACATGCTATTTATACACTATAGATATATAATCAATGTTTATTGGCTTAAATACACACATTTAAAACATCTTTGGCCAGCTCAATTTTTAATATTTTATGAGCTAGTTAGCCCTGAATCATGAATTTACCAATATTTTATCAGATTTATAAAAGGATTGCATACTCTAAATTATGACTTCCATGAGCCATTTACTTTGTGGAATTATAATACAATATATTAAATGATGAGAATGAAGCTATTACTAATTGTATCAACAGCCTCTATGCATGACTGTTTCAAACATTTATTTATTAACTGAAAATCATGATTCTTCCATCCCTTATACCAAGAACATCCATAATTAGCAACATACACACTCAAAAAATGATCTAGTTCTATTTGACGAGTAAATGATTTTTCTATATTTTCTAAATTCGAAAAACATACTACCTCATTCTTGTGAGGATCCCATTTATAATATTTGCTCTACTATGTTTATGATTTTGTGATCAGTTTGAAAGTTGGTATATCATTAAAAACAGATCAATTTAGCTCCCTCAACTCCTTACTATATCTGGTAACCATACTAAAGGAATAGGGATTGACTTTGAATATGGCAAGTTCCAGTTTCTGAAATAGTTGTAGGCAAGTAAAGCTTTTGGGCAAAGATGTAAGCTATAAGAGGACTAAGAATAAACTGTCACTACTATATATAAAGAAGAAAAATAAGATGTGTAGGAAGAGAGCCATTATAGTAGCAAGTGTGATCTATTATTTCTAAGTTTCCCAGATATTTCAGAATTATAGAAACTAAAGGATGATCTTTTCTAAGACATATAAATGGTTTACTTTAATAATATTTGATTTATGATGTAAATAAGAATAAGAGAATATAGGTAACTCTTGAAATAAAAAATGGCACATATAAAATAAACATTTTAATACAAATCATTAGAATATATTTATACTATATATAAATCTACAATTAGAAGATATTACTGAAATTTTCCTCTACAGACTATCACTCTAGAATTCTCTTTAAAAAAAATCACCGAGAAGAATTAGATGATGACTGTGAAATAGATTCTCCCATTATAATACTACTTCTGTCGTTTAGAGTTTTGACAACAGTTGTAGCTGGAGACTGGAGCACTTTACGAGAAAGCCTCATTCTTCCATCAGCCGGATCACGCCCGAAGTATTTCACCTGTGTTAAAGAACCAAATTTAAAGTTAACAGCACTTTGACCGACATCCAGATTAAAAGATATTTAAATTTACATGGTCCAAATAAGGCAATGACTAATATTTTTACTTGTTCACTGAAAGCATAGCTCAGTGCTAAGTGGAGGTATATGCTAATAAATATAATTTGGTTAAGTAGTGCTTATAAAAAAGAGACAGGAGCATTTATAATCTGTCAGACTCGTCTGTGCCGCCTTATCCTCTCCAGGTCCTATACTGGAAGAACAGTCAAAGCCATGGTGAATGATTCTAGACAAGGGCTTCCTAAGCCTAACTGTGCTACAAACTATGCAGGACTACTCTTAGATCACTCAGACTACTGCTCAAAGGACTATCACACTGGAGGTTACTTGACTTGAGCCTAGACAAAGAGTCAGGGGGAAAGGTGGCAGTTTTTAAGTCCCTTTTGATGTAAAAAAACAAGTTTATACAGAGATACTATGTCTTAGTTCTCATCTTTCCCTGGAGGCTATTTTGAATAATGAGACTACTGATTGGGAATAAACTAGAAAGAAGCCTTAGTTACTCAGGCCATGGGTATTAGGTATAACTAGAATGCAGAAAAAAAATCCAGACTAGCATGAGTTCTTTCATCTATTCATAAAGGACTATAAAAAAGGTCAATTTTATTATCAGAATTCTAGAACTAAACAACATGGCTTTCAATAAACTCAAAACCTTTTAGCCTCAAGCAGTGTAGAAGCAATTAAAGTCTCAAATTCCCAAATACAACATTCAAGGCCTTCAACAAAGTTACATTATCAGGGTTCTCACGTCCTGTCTCCAAATCACTGACTGCATAACCAGCCATCACTGACCTCCTCAAGTATTTTTAAAAGCTCTAAAGGGGACTATTGTTCTAACTAAACTGTAAGCTCCTTGAGACAAAGAATTGTGTCTTAAATCCTTAAAGAATCTGTTTAAGCAACCCTAAGGTTAAAAAAGAAGCACAGCATATAAATAATATAAATCACAGATGTTGAGTCGATTCTTTTAGCTTAGTTTTTTTCTCTTTTCGTGAGGAAGACTGACCCTCAGCTAACATCTGTTGCCAATCTTCCTCTTTTTGCTTGAGGAAGATTGTCACTGAGCTAAGATCTGTGCCAGTCTTCCTCTATCTTATGTGGGATGCCTCCACAGCATGGCTTGATGAGTGGTGCTAGGTGTGCATCTGGGATCCGAAACCACGAAACCTGGGCCGCTGAAGCAGAGCACACGAACTTAACCGCTATGCCACTGGTCTGGCCCCCTCATTTAGCTTACTTTTTGAAATAACTGAAACTTCAATTACAGTTTACAACTTTAAGGCTAAAAGGTTGGATACAAGTACCTGAATTTCTTGGCCAACTTCTAATCCTAGGGCAGTGGGATGTTTAATCTGAAAGAGAACATGTTGATCTATTAGTTTTCTTGCATAATTATCTAATATCCATGGCAGTACACATTTTTTTCCCAAGTGGAAAACAGTATTATTGGTTTTTCTGATTATAAAATCTGTTAATTATAAATATTTAAAATAATACAGAAGTATTCAGATAGTAAAAATCATCCCAAACCCCTCTAATTGTAGATAATTACTACTAACACTCTAATGAGCATCCCTACAAATGTCTATTTTGTGTGTGTACTGCATTTGTAAAAACGGACCTTACTGAGCCTGTTGTTTTATAATATGCTGATCTTTCATTCAATAATGTGTTGAGGATGTCTTTTCATATCAATAAATGAAGCATTACAGTTGAATATCCAAATGATATAATTTGTATAACCAATCTCCTAAAGATGGTCATTTAATTTGTTGTAAATTCCAGTGTTGCAAATGTTAATAATTGGCGAGTGTAGGTGAAAGGTATATATGAGTGTTCAGTGTACTATTTTTTCAATTTTTTGTAGGTTTAAAATTTTTGAAAATAAAAAGCTGAGGAAAAATAAATTGCAGTGTTGCAATGATTATGTATTCATCTACTCTAATTATCCTCTCAGAACAAAGTCCTACGTGTGCAACTTCTAGGTTCAAAGGTACTCATACACATTGACCAAACTCTCCAAAAAGTTTGTCCCAATTTACATTCCTATCAACAGTGTATGAGAATGTCCATTTTTTCTCTATACTCTTACCCACATTAGAAATTTTCAACTATCTGAAAGTTGAAAAATGATAACTTGGTTTTATTTTCATTTTAAAAAATTGGTGTAGATATTGAATATCTTGGTTGGCTTTTTAAAAAAATGATTTGTCTATGTTCTTTGCTCATTTTCCTATTGATATTCATCTTTCTTACTGATCTATACAAGCCCTTTGTATAGATAACATGTCATATGTTATAAGCATTTTCTCCCTAAGCTGCTCCTTGTCTTTTCAACCTTATTGTAACTTTGCCATATGATTTTTAAAAATTATGAAATCAAATTTAATCAATTTATTTACATTTTTGGCTTTGATATCATGTTGAAAAAGATTTCCCCAGTCCCAAGATTATTAAAATAGCCATAGTTTTTAGAAGAAAATGTGTGTCCTACCTCAACCCTTCCACCCCCTCATGCCTGGATTTTCTTTTTCTTCTTTTACCACCTTAAAAAATTTTTTTTTTACATTTACCTCCTTGATCCAAATGGGCTTTTGGTATAAAAAGAGTAGAGATCCTGCTGTATGATAACCAGCTGTACCAATATGATTTATTGAATAATCTTTGTTTCTTCACTGATTCAAAATGCAACTTTCAGCATGTATTATATTCCCATGTATGTAACTGGGTTTATTTTTGGTCTCTATTTCTTGTTTCATGGATTGTCTACTTCTGGGCCAGTAATACACTGTTTTATTCTCTATAGCTTTATAATATATTTTAATACATGGTCAAACAGACATTCCTATTAATCCTCTGCTGCCACAGTTTTCCTGAATAGTTGCATATTCTTAGTCTTCCAAATGTATATATTACAACAAAGATTAAATCAATTTAAAAAACATCCTAAGAATTATCTTGTCATGATTGGTTGGTCATGAAAATTGGGAAAACAGGGCTATAGCTAGATATTTTTAGTAACTGCTGTCTGTTAACTCTAGATGCTATTTCTAGTCCATCATGGAAGGAGAAACATAAATATCTGGTAAACAATGTACAACCTTTTGTCAGCAGCATCTCTGTCATTTTTGGTTTTCTCTATTAGGCTAGTAGTAGACAAAGTGTACCGTTCTCATTAACCTAGGTAATTTAACTATGGTTATTTTAAAGTAGTTTTAAAAATAGTCAAATCTGTCTTTTTTTTACCTTTCGTTGATCAAGTTGTGTGTTATGAAGTAGTACTGCAGTCATATTAGGATATAGTTTAACCATTACTCCAGCATCTCTACAAAAAGGAAATAAGCCTAGTTAAAATAATAAGTATCTGTAAATCTACTGATAATCAAAGGGTGATTATGTTTTCATAGGAGAACAAAATAACAACCCAAATAACCTCCAGTACAATATAACTGTAAAAAGTATGATTATCTAAAAGGGATACTTATTTTTTCAATTGAAAATATGCCCTTTATTTAAATGCTTGTCAAACAAAGGACAGAGAAGATAAAAGAAAAATATGCAGTGAAAAGCTTTTAGACTATATATATATATATATACACTTACGTGGTTATTTTTGGTGGGGAAGGTTGGCCCTAAGCTAACATCTGTGCCAATCTTCTTTGTATGTGGGATGCCACCAGAGCATGGCTTGATGAGTGGTGTGTAGGTCTGCGCCTGGGACATGAACCCATGAACCCTGGGCTGCGAAGTGGAGTGTGAAACTCAACCACTACACCACCAGGCCAGCCCCTAGAATATATATTCTTCTTCTGTATTTCTCTTAATAATATTTTCCCAAAAATTCTGGAACGACATTAAATATTTTAAAATAGTGTAAAATTCTCATCAGGCTATTAAGTAGTAGTGATTACGGAAAGAAGTTAGAGAAAACGGGATACTTATCTCATTAACAATTTCTTTTTTTCTCTAGTCTAATAAAATAAGCCATCTCATTTCTTACTTTTCACCTGCGATATTAAACAAATTATCCCACTGCCTTTTATTTTTCATTTCAAATAGCTTTGAACATTCATGCTACATCTCTTAATTTCTTTCTTTTTTTTCTTAAAAAGGGGATTTTCTGGGACTGGCCCCGTGGCCAAGTGGTTGAGTTTGTGCACTCTGCTTCGGCAGCCCAGGGTTTTGCCAGTTCAGATCCTGGATGCAGACATGGCACCGCTTATCAAGCCATGCTCAGGCAGCATCCCACATGCCACAGCTAGAAGGACCCACACTAAAAATACACAACTATGTACTAGAGGGCTTTTGGAGAAAAAGGAAAAATAAAAAAATCTTAAAAAAAAAAAGTATTTTCTGGGGCCAGCCCAGGAGAAAATACAAAAAATAGAGGAAGATTGGCACAGATGTTAGCTCAGGGACAATCTTCTTCACTAAAGAAAAGGGGGGGGGGATTTTTTGATCCTGAAAATCCAATTTTTTTAACTGGGAAAAATATTTTGAGGTTGAAACTGGCATTTAAAAAATGTGCTACTTAGGCATTAAGTAGTACTATTTTTAAAATAAACCAACAAGAAACTACCAAAAAAACAAAGAAAGACATAGGAAATATTGCTAAATCTATTTTGGGCCTATTTACTGTTTTTGGGGAAAATTAAAATGGTTGGAAATTTGGTTAAAGAAAATTCAGTTAGATGAATCTATTAGTATAATTATAATCACAGAACCTGATGTTACTGAAAATCTACAAACTAGTGTAGAAAATAAAGTTATACCTTAAAAATAATGATTATATGGTAATTGATGTATAATCTAAACACCTTACAAGTTCAAAGTAAATAAAGCAAACATGAAGTTACCAAGGGCTTATAATATAAATCTCATAAAAACCAGCATAGCACTGCATATTACTTGGTATTACCTGATTTCAGTTATTGTAGCGGTATATACTGCTCCAAATTCTAATTGCTGTTCTTGCTGTAAGTGCAAAATAAGCCATAAGATTCATAAAGAAAACAGAAACAAAAAGTAGAAAAAAGTGACTATTATAAGACCTATACTTACATCATCTTTGCAGATTTCAGTAATGAAGTCTCTTGCTTCATGCATAGCACTGGGTGTTGGTGCAAATACAGAAAATGTTTCTTCATCCACCTGACTAATAGTTACACCTTTTAAAAAGATAATTTAACACATTAAAGTTAACTTGCTCATTCCAGTTGAGACTAGTCTTAAAAGCAGATATGAGAGCAGGGGAGTGACCTGGAAGTAGCTGAGCATGGTTGTGCTGTGTTTAATCACTGCTTTAGGAATGAAGGGATTCATTCACCAATACACATTGCACACCTCTTATGTATCCAACATTGGGTTAAGCCCTGGGGATATCACAGTGAGCCAATGTCCCTGCTTTCTTAGAGTCCACAATCCGGTGGCATAAAGTATGTCAAGTTCCAATTTTGGAAAGTTTGGTTTTGCTCTCTTAATTATGAGTAAAAACTATACTAGAACCCTTTCCTCATTTTTTCTTCTTTCTCCCTCTTACCCTTTAGAGTGGCAAACAGATGAGGGACGAAATCACGTCAGTTTCTCAATCTTAAGAACTGGCTAAGGCAACTCTGCTTCTCATTATCCTTCAATAACCTCAAAGCTGGTAAGTACTAGATGACCCAAAGGTTGCTTCCAGAAAAAACAAAGGATGCTATTTCTACATATACTGTTTAAATAAAAGAGTCTAAATAAGACTAAGTGAAAAAGGAAACATTTTTCTAAATGTTCGATTTTAAAATGTTGGAAAACACTGATGAATTATATGTCATCCTTCTTGAATATAGTTAAGGATGATTGTTTGCTGATTTATTAAGAAGCATACAGAAAACTTACAGTAGAGACATGTCAGTGTTATATCCTTTTCTCTTGGTCTTTCATTTTTCAAACATATATTTTTGGAACAACACAACAGGGATAAAATGGCAAACTTACATGGTCTAGCATTAAATAAAAAACCTAAACTTCATACAACTCTTACCTGTTTCAGCCTGAAGTTTTTTTAAATGATATCCACCTGGTCCAACAAATTTTGCTCGTTTTGATAATGGAACCTGAATGGTTTCTGAAATGTAGTACAGAGAAAAATATAAATAGTTCAAATATATATATATGAAGCTAAAACATGTCCTGGTCACTCAGGATTTTTTCTTTTGGGCTAGACACATGTAAAACTATTTCAGTATGAAATACAAAAACAGTTTGTTACTTGACTAAAATTATTGAAAGTTCTCATGTCTAAGAATGTCCCCCTAAATTTAAAGTATTTTAACTATAAAGGCATTTAAAATATTTTTGTTTTGTGTATGGAGTTAAAAAATATGTAAAAATAGTAATATACTTTCATATATTAATGTTTACCTTATCATGAATTCACTGATTTTTTTTTTTTCTTTTGCTGAGGAAGATTTGCCCTGAGCTAACATCCATGCCAGTCTTCCTCTATTTTTTAGTATGTGGGCCACCATCACAACATGGCTGCTAAGAGAGCAGTGTAGGTCTGCACCTGGGAAACAAACCTGGGCTGCCGAAGTGGAGTGTGCTGAACTTAACCACTAGGCCACCAGGACTGACCCTGAAATCAGTAATTTTAATATATTACCTACAAGAGGTCCATTTTCTTTTCTAGATGCTCGAGGTTTTGAAATAGTTTTGTTCATAATCTGTAGTATCTCCTTCTTTGCCACTATAAGAGATAAAGCATAATAAAAATTATAACTACATAAAATAAATGTGATTAGATATAGCAGTATTCTTAGTTTTTATGGAGTAAAATCCAAACTCCTTAGCTTAATAATCAAAGCTCTTTACATCTCATTTACCTTGACAATTCTACTTCAATTTCCTTCTCCATAAATCCTATCTTAGAGAGTTACTGAATTTGTAAAAATTGAATTTTCACTGGTCTCCCACTTTGGTCGTTAGTCATATGCCCAATAACTTAATCTTGATTTTGGTTGATCATGAAGTTTCATTTTCTAAAGCAATATTTTATAATAAGCCTACTTTTTATAATAAGCCTAATGGGAATTTTAATTCCCATTAACAAACTAAACAATGATAAAAGGAGAATCAGGCGCACTGGCTTGGTTTACCTGAGGCTTGTTGAATGGCCTCCATTACAATTTTTATTGGTATTCCAGGTAATTTAATATCAGCCTAATATGGAAAAGCCAAAAAATTACATAAATATTGATTCATGACGTTATTTAAATACTACAAAATGAAACAAAACGTGTGTCAAAATACCTGTAATGCAGTTATTCCCTTATTAGTGCCAGCTATTTTGAAATCCATGTCACCATTGTAATCTTCAATTCCCTTAAGGAATTTAAAAAATTATGATGTAGTTTTAAATAAAAGCAAAATTCACCCAGTCATTGTAGAGGAATTAAAAAAAGATAGCTTTAGAAGTAAACTGTGTCCTCTGAGACTACACACAAAGAAATATCTTCTACATTAACTACTGCTTTCAATTTGTGACTTTTTTTAAGTTACAAATATCTCATCAGAAAATCACTTCATTTTAGATCGATCACATTTCCCCCCATAAATGCATTAAGGATTAATTTATGATCATCTTAAAGTTAGCCATTATGGATATTATACTGTAATATATATTTTTAACTTACATCCTATGAAATCGAAGGCAAATATGCAGAGGGGGAAAGTAAGAACAAGGACCTCTATTTCTCAAGTATTAGCATTCTTCTAAGCATATGATGCTTGTAAAGTATGTATAATCTTCACCATTAAATATTTGAAAATGTGAATATACTTGCCAGAATATCTGTCAGCAAACGATAATCTTCTATTTCACCCTTGTCAGGATTGTTTTTGGTGACCAATCCTATTGCCACACCTGCAACAGCAGTTGAAATTGGAACCCCTATAGTTGAGAAAAAGAACGTATGTCATGTGTACATCAGCCTATCACACATATTTATCATTCTCTTGACATTTATTTTAATATAAGTGGATGGTGTTCTAAACTGACAACCATCAAAACTAAATTGGAAAGGTCTTAGTAAGTTATCTACCTCATTTCTTCTTAAACATACAATAAAAGCCCCTGAAAACAATTCTAACAGGTAATCATTGTTCTCAGCAAAAACCTCTTTAATAATAACAAACTCAATCAGTTTCTTTGCCTTTTTGCTTTTAGTGCCTTCTTTTTGTTTTTTTGAAAAGTAACCATGTATTTGGTAAATCCTTCCAGCCTGAGCCCCTCAGTCTACCTCCCCATGATAGCCACCATTAGGTTTTTTGTGTATCCTCCTAGAAAATTTCTTTGCACAAGTATAAATCTAAGTGTAATCTTTTATTTTCTTTACTCATGGAAGCATACTAAATGCATTTATTATTCTATATCTTGCTTTTTTCACTTAAAAACATGTTGGGTATTGATATATGACACCACACAAAGCTCTATCTTATTCTTTTGAATGGCTGCATAGTACTCCCCTTATGTGTTTATCAGCCACACAATAGAAGTGGGATTAGTGAGTCAAAGGGTGTGTGGATTTACATTTGTTATACCATCAAACTGCCTTCCAAAGAGTGTAGCATTTTAGACTTTTATCAGCAGTCCATATTCTTAATTCTTGTCAAATCTTTTACCTTTGACCATCTAAAGGGTAAAAAAGATGGCTTAATGTTTTTAATTTGATTCCTGTTTTTATGAGTGAGGCTAAACTTTTTTTTCATGTTTATAAACATTTATATTTCTTTTTCTGTGAACTGCCTATATTCATGGACTTCAACCATTTTCCTTTTTGGTTGTTAGTCTTTTTCTTACTGATTTATTTGTAAGAGCTCTTTCAATATGGGCAGATCTTCATTAAATATAAATGTAGAATATTACAGTAAATCAAATATAAATATGAAATATATTATTTCCTAGTCTGTTGACTTTGTTTATTTTGAGTTTTTTTCCCTGTATAGAATTTTAAAGGTTATATGCAATCATGGATTCTGGATTTTGCTTAGAAAGATTTTTGCTCTCCAAGATTTTGATAAAATCTTCCATGTTTCACTTCTTAAAGTTTTAAGTTGTGATCATTTGGAATTTATTTGGTATAAAGGAGTGTGGTAGGGATCTTATTTCATGTTCTCTAAACAATCTTACTTACGCCCACAGTTTTAACTATCACCTATAATGCTAATGACTTAAAAATCTACCTCTCTTGCCTAGTTTCTCTTTGTTAAGGCCTGGATCTGTATAGCCAACCTGCCTGTTGGATATCATCAGCTAAATGTCCCCATATATTCAAAATTTAATCACCCCTAATAAATCCTTTTTCTCCTGCATTCCCTATTTTGGTTGAAAGCAACTAAGACACTCATGCCAGAATCAACACTTCTTTCTTCATTTCCTATATCCCATCAAGTCACAAAGATCTGATTAGTCTACCTTCAGTCTTTTTGGAAAGTTGTCCTTTCCCCTAAATGTTGAAATATCTATTGCCACTCCTTTAGTCCAAGTCCACATTATTTCTTGCCCTGGCAAAGTCTCCCTGTCTGGTTTCCCAGATTTTAGTCTCTCCCCCAGCTCCTCTTCTCTCCCATTCTATCCCCTAGTGCTTCATCTAAGCTGGGAAAAACCACCTCAACAAAAAAAAGGAGGCAGATTCAAATCATGTGACTCTTCTACATAAAATCCTTCAAATTCCCCATTATCTGCTTTCAGGAAATTTTTATACATGTTCTGTGATCAAAAAAGTTTGGAAAATATACACATACTTTTCCTAGAGATTCAGTATTCATATTAGCATATTAAGGTCTATTTAACCCATATTAAATAAATCTGCCTAACCCTACTGAAATGTACTTTAAGAACACATACTTTTTTCCATACAATAATCAACATTCTGTGGAACACTATTTCATGGAATATTGAGTTGGAAAATACTAGCTCTAAGTTCAAACTCCTTAGCATAATAATGACCTTTAAAATCTGGTCCCAGGGGTTGGCCCTGTGGCCAAGTGGTTAAGTTTGCATGCTCCCCTGCAGCGGCCCAGGGTTTCGCTGGTTTGGATCCTGGGCGCAGGCATGGAACGACTTGTCGGGCCATGCTGAGGCAGCGTCCCACATGGCACAACTAGAAGGACCCACAACTGAAATATACAGGTATGCACTGAGGGGATTTGGGGAGAAAAAGCAGAAAGAAAGAAAAAAAAAAGACTGGCAACAGTTGTTAGCTCAGGTGCCAATCTTTAAAAAAAAAAATCTGGTCCCAGTTTATTACTTAATCATTTCTTTCGAATACATTTCAGAAACACACTACTATACTGCTTCATAACTTTGCACATGCTATTCCTTTCACATGAAATACAGTCCCTGATCCTAATCTGCATGGTCAACAACTACTCAACCTTTAAAACCAGATGAAATGTAGCTCTCTATAAAGCCAATTACCTTCAACCTGCTTCTTCACCCATATCGTACCTATTTGTGCCTTGTACGTATTTGTATTCGCTCTCTGATCTGTTAGTATCTTTGTTTTTGCACATGTAACCTTTTAAAAAAAAGGGTACCATTTGTATCCCTGGATATAGGACAGTGCCTGACGTAGGGCATGGCAAGCACTCATGTATTTGAATTGAATTGCATATGTTTATTGGCTTTTCCCACAGGACTTGACATTGTCAAATTTAATTTTTTTATATTTGGCTTCATGTATTTTTTATCCTGTTAAGATTTTTTTAGAGATTAAAGTTATCATTTAACATATCAGTCACCCACTCCTTTATATTGGCAGGCCCATGTTCTCAGTCAACTCAGTAACAAAAACATTGAAAGGGACAGGGTTTAGGATGAAGCATTTCTAGTATTCCACGTGAGACCCCTCTCCTACCTACCGATCAGATTAACCAATCCCCTGTACTCGTCCTACAAGCAGATATGATTGGTGTGCCTATCACACAGTCTCAATTTCTGCATCATTTACACAAGGATCATAAACTGCCAAGCTTAACTCTAGATATACTACATTAACAGCATCCTCCTTGTCCACTTCAAACCTAGTAATATTTTCAAAAACAAAAATGAGTTTACTACGGCATGACTTATTTTGAGTCCCTTCTGCTTCCTTCTATCCACAGCCCCTTCCGTTCTTCTAAAATACTTATAAACCATTCTTTTTATAATCTATTTAAGAGTCTTGCCAAGGGTCACTGTCAAGTTCACTGGGTTATACTTTACAGAAAATACCTATCTTTCAAAAGTAAGAATTTCTTATGTCCTTGGTATGCTAGTTTCTGTGATTTCTCAAATACTTCAGTTATCTCATTCTGAAGTTCTCATCATTACTTAGGGCGGATTTTGTCTAGATCAAGAGATCTGACTTCCTTTAAAGCAGTTAAAGACTCTCTTATGATCTCCTTTAATTTTATCTTTCAGTTCACCTTTCTCAGGATTTGTTCTGTTTTCCAGTGTGAGCTTGGAAGACTAATGAATGCAAGCTCCATGAGGACAGGGACTTTGTTTTGTTCACTTGTGTCCCAAGAGCTTCATTTTTATTCACTTGCATCGCAAGAGCTTAGATCAGTACTTGGCACAGAGTGGGCATAAAGATTTGTTGAAAGAATGTATGAAGGCGAATAAAGGAATACTATTTTACCAGGTACCTTAAATATCAGATTATGTTTTCCTTCCACTGAACACAACTAGAAAGTGCCTTTAATCGCCTTTAGCTTTTTTTGCTTTGGCTTAAGTTTTAATCTTTCTGGATAATGTTTTTATACATTCCCACCATTCTTTTATTTCATCTTTGCTTATGTTGTCCTTTCTGTATTTCCATACCTGTACCGTAATGTGTAAATTTATAGGGAACTCCTTGAATGGCCTCTTGAGTGCCTGTAGGTTCCTTTTCTCTTTCTTCTTGAATAGCAGCATTGGTGACTGTTTGACAGAAACTGTTTTCAGAGCTTCTTAACATACTGACTTTCCCTTTTGGTGTTTCAGACCCAGAGATTATCCTGAACTACTTGCAGTCTTCCTTTCTAAAATTCTGTGTATACTTCTTTGAGGGGCATTGTTCTTCTTATGGCTTGCATAAATCAACTGGAATATTACATGGTTACTTTCCTGGGTCTTAATACTTCTGCTTGCTAATCCAAACTTCCTTGGTGAATGGAATCAATTGTGGATCTCGCCACCTTTTGGAAGGTGAGAAAGCTCACTGGGTAACCAAGGCTAGTAAATAATTTTATTCTACTGCTTTTAGCCAAAAATAAGAATTCCAGCAAATACCTTTATAGTTGAAGCTGCAGTTTGTAGCTATCTTGCTTCTGGCCTGGTTTGGTAATCTGTAATCTGGCTTCTCCAAGTCTTACTAAAACCCAGTTTTAAAGAAATCTTGTATTTTATACTAATCAAGTATATATAAAGCATTAGTAGTTTTGAGACATAATTCTTTTACCTGCATCCATTAATGCTAAACTTCCGCCACATGCAGATGCCATAGAAGATGATCCTATAGAAAGAAAAAAAACCTTGTTTTATAATATTCTGATTTTTTAAAGTGTAGAAAATTGGGGCCGGCCCGGTGGCACAGTGGTTAAGTGCACACGTTCTGCTTCTCAGTGGCCCGGGGTTCGCCGGTTTGGATCCTGGGTGCGGACGTGGCACCACTTGGCATGCCATGCTGTGGTAGGCGTACCACATATAAAATAGAGGAAGATGGGCATGGATGTTAGCTCAGGGCCAGTCTTCGTCAGCAAAAAGAGGAGGACTGACAGTAGTTAGCTCAGGGCTAATCTTCCTCAAAAAAAAAAAATGTAGAAAATTGTTACTATTGATTATTTCCTTACAAATATTCAATTGTAATATAAATATTCAATATTTTTTCCGTCTTTCTTTTTAAAAGCACTTAAGGCAATCTCTCCTAAACCACAAAATACAGAGCTGCATGGTCCAATATGACAGCCATTAGCCACATATGGCTACTAAATTTAAATTAATTGAAATAAATTCAGTCCCCTAATTAGCCAGCATAGAGATCGAGAACTTCCACCATCACAGAAAGTTCTATTGGACAGCACTGCTAGAGATTATGATTCTAAGAAACCTCCCAGAAGAACCAGCATGCCTTTTTTGTTGCTTAATCAGAAGGCAGTTAAAGATACAGAGCTCTGGCTCTCTCCTTAGGCCATAAGCTATAGCCTAGTCACACCCAGTAGAGAACAGAAAGTCTAGTTTAAATTCTGAGCTTACTCTGGTATTTTTTTTTTTTTTAAGTATCTATGACCATCTGATCTGTGTCTGCTACATTTTTGAGAACTCTGTACTCTTTCTGCCTTTAATGACCATATCTTGCCTTGACCTGAGGACTGATGTTATATTTAAATTTGACCTTTTAGCCTAGCCTCTCTGTGGTGTCTGCTTATATCTGTGACATCTGACAGGTGTCACCTGCCTAATGGATCACTCTATTTTGGCCCTTCTTCTCTCCAGGCTGGGCTTGTTCTATGGCATGTGTGTAAAAATAAAGAAATAACCCAAACTGGATCTATTATAACAGATATGTAAAGAGAAATATTTGTTTTATATTGCTTTCAAAACAATTCATTAGCTAAGAACAGAGATTCAAACAAGTATATGATTAAACACATTTTTCTCTTGCAGTGGGCTTGGGCACTGTAGTAATAAACAATGTAACATTGCTTATGAAAAGTTAAGAATATATAACAGGGAGTTTGGTCTTTTTGACTAGGATAAGCATTTCAATACCATACCATTTGACTCTAGGACTTCAGATGTGACTCTTATGGTGAAAGGAAAATCTTTGGGAATAACAGGATACAAAGCTTTCTCGGCAAGAGCACCTAAATTAGAATAGAAAATAATAAGCAAAAAATGTACTAAGTCTCTGTAAGAATACCATATAGGTTTACAGATTTGTACTCACCATGCCCAAGTTCTCTTCTGTTTACACCAGTGACTTTGCCAATTTCATTTGTTGCGTAAGGAGGAAACTTGAAAAAAAAAAAAACACACACACACACATATATACAACTGACATGGAAAAATATCCAAGATATATTACCAAAATAATAAAACAGTTACAAAACCAGAGAATCCCATTTTTGTTAAAAAAAAAAAAAGTACATTCATATATATACAAAAAATGTCTGGACATCTAAAATATAGACCAGATTGCTAAAAGTAGCTATTTCTAGTGTGTAGGTGAATCAGGGTGGAAGTGGATAGTTATGTGGATTTACATTATAAATTTTTATAATGTTTAAATTATTAACAATAACAAAATACTACATTTTTGTAATAAGAAAAAATATACACATATTTAAAAAGAAATGCACACTGAGGAAACAGAGATCTCTTCCAATCAGGCTTTTACTTTAGCCAGAGGTTGCAAACTGTTTTATGTGACCAATATGTTCTCTTAAAGAAATATGAATTAGTTGCGCTCATTTAAAAAATTGGGAAATTTCCCTTAAAAATCTGGAATTCCAGTTTAACAAAATAATTTTTGAAAGGAGTGATGGAACTGAATCTGATCAAGCCTCTGGATCTAGAGCTCCATTTGCAGGAGACAGAAGGACAGAGAAATATGTTGAGCTGCATCATGAGTGTGCAATAAGCAGCACCCAGACTATGGGGGAACTCTACAGGTCAAACGGACCTGGAGCTTCAATAGAGAGACTGTAAAGAAAAGAATGTGATGGAAGAGAAACCTGTAGATTAAGACAGACTTAAAGAAATAATAGATTTTTAAAAATGGACAAGACTATAGTATCTAGGGATGTACACTAGAAGTGCAAGAAAGTGATTACTATAAAACTTAGGAGCGTAGTTACTTTTAGGGGAAGAAGGGTGTTGAGACTGGGAAGAAAAACACAGAGGAGCTTCTGGGGTGACTAGCAACCTTCTATTCTGACTTGGGTGGTGCAAGGCTGTCTGCCTTATAAAAACTCATTAAACCATCCTTTGTTTTATATAGTTTTCAATATCTTTATTTTACATTAAAAATGTTTAAAAAAAGGTAATGATAATGGCAGTAACAGCCCATATCCTTCTCCTGCCGTCTCCTCCACCTTTCCCCCCAATAATCAGCTAGAGCTGCGTTTGCCATAGCTACCCTTTTTAAAGACTGCCATGTGCTCTTCAGTTTATGACAAAGGATGAACTTTACTTAGTTACAGTTCCTCTCTGACTTCTGGGTATATCCAGAACAGGATATTTATAAGGGACTCAAGACCTATGAAAATCTCCAGGTTTCTGGATATTCTCTAGAATATTCCATGAAATGTTCTCCATAATTATAGCAGGTTCAACAAAATTGAGATGTTAAGTTTAAGATTCTCGGCAGCGAACAATGGTCACTCAAAGGTGAAGCAACTTGCTGTTTTACCCTAGCCTTCCAGTGTGGATGCTTCAAATACTAAAATTAAAGTATTATATGTTGTGTCTGGTCCTTTATGATTAGTTGTGAATAAAGTCAATCACAAACTCAACTATATATAATGATTTCAGATAAAGTAAGCTGACACTAAATACCTCAGTACTTTTACCACTAATCAACTGAGTAAAAATATGAACATTTCAATGAACTAAAGGGAGAAGGTGATTTCCCAGTTGAGGTATTTGAAAAGCCCCACTTTTGTTTGACACACATGTAAACAGATAAAACTCTTTCTTGACTAAAACAATATTGTCCACTATATTTTAACTTCTTATGTATGGCTCAGAACAGGAAGTTGCTGATTGGAAAGCTACTACTTTTGTCTCTAAATCCCTTCTGTATGCAATAGACAGCCTGCAAATCTACCTTAACAGATATATGACAAAACTAGCATAGTAAAATGTTAATGGTAGAACCTAGGTAGTGGGTATATGGGTATTCACTGTAAAGTTCTTTCAACTTTGCTGTATCCTGGAAATTTTTCATAATAAAACGTTGGGGGAAAAATTCACCTTACCTCATAGTGCAGCATAAAGTTTTTATCATTTACTCCACTACAAACAAAAAGCATAATATTAAAAACATACAGATACAAATTTATTTCAGTAAACAACCAAAAAAGATTTAAAGGGATTTTAAAAAACAATGGGGTATTAAAGAGAGTTGGTCTGAAATTGAAAACCAGGAGAATCAGAAGGATGTCAGAGACAGTATTTTTTCTAGGGCTTATGAATGAATTCTATACAGATTTAGGAAAACAACTTTGCTTCAAATACAAGCACTTGAATATCCAGATTTGAATATTAAGACAGTAGATACATATTTTTTAAGCATTAATAACTGTCAGAATCCTAAATGTTACAAACACATTAAATCTCAGAGTTATGATCTTTCTCCCAGTCAACATGTGAAATGAAGATCAGTAACTGAAATGATATAGCTGAGAGCAATCAGGAGATCTAACAGGCAAAGATCTTCTCAGGGTTTGAAAACAGAACTCTTGTGACTATATCTAGAACAATGGGGAAGATAAGGATGAGAAGAAACAATTCCTTTCCTGAAGCAGGAAACCTGATTATCATTAACTGACGAAAAGACAGGCACATGAAGGGTCTTAGCACAAACAGTGTCCCCTTTTGGTGAGATTACAAAAGGCACCTCTCTGTGCAGAGGATTTAGAAAGTCTTGGGCTAGGACTGAATCTGCATAACCATAAACTGCAGCCTTGGGAAAAGAAATCTAAAAACTAGACTCCTTCAGATGACTAAAGGAATCATAGATTTGGGGAGCTAGAGAGGAGGATAGGGATCATTAGCGCATTACCCACACTTTACAAAATGAGGAAACCAAAGACCAGCATGGCTGAGTGACATGTGCCCCCTCACTTACATAGGTTACAGTCCTAAGACTAGAACATAAAGAAGTGCCCTAGCCAAGCCCAGTGCTCTTTCTTATGAAGCTGTGTTGCCTCCTAGAAAAGAAAGGAGTCAAACTGAAGAAGGGCAGGACAACTAAATTTTGGCCCAGATGGGAATTAAAAATACAGACAAAGGATAAGAGCTACCCCAAAGAGCATTTTGATTATGATGAGCAGTCCAGCCTTATACACACAGCTGCATTGTCAATTTTATCTGATACATCAAAAACAATTAGTGATGCTATCCTGAAGATACTAGCGATTATCCTCATCAGTTGGCTGTAGGAAGAGGGAGGCAGAGGTCCTGTGGTCTTCCAAGATCCTTAACCAGGGAAAGGGAAGCAACACTCTTAGGCACTGTGGAAAGAATGAACTGTGGCTGTGAGTCCCGGGACTCTGATGCAGTAATGTTTGGTGGGGATTGTAATACAGATTCTCATCATCTAAAATTGATCAACATGATTTTACTGCTGACTTTTTAGGAACAGAGGAGGACAGCTAAGTATTTTTTAACACAAATTCAAATGTGGCTTGGGATTAGACAAAGTTTTTTCATTTACTAACAGCTTCCAGATTCTTTTTAGCAACTGGGACTCTTGCTTATTTATTTGCTCTCTTGTTTACAGTAGAAAAACCTATCCATTTAAGATTACCCAGGAAATCTGGCCTGAGGAATGGTTCTGGAGACAGAGCTAAATATAGTCATATAAAGAATTAAATGGAGTCACCCCTGATGGCCTAGTGGTTAAAGTTCAGTGCTCTCCCCTTCAGCAGCCCAGGTTCAGTTCCCAGGCATGGAATTACATGACTTGTGTGTTAGTAGCCATGCTGTGGCAGAGGCTCACAAAGAAGAACTAGAAGCACTTACAACAACTAGAATATACAAGTATGTACTGAGGCTTTGGGGAGAGGGAAAAAAAAAAAAAGGAGAGAAGATTGGTAACAAACGTTAGCTTACGGCAAATCTTTCCCAACAACAACAACAAAAAAACCTTCTACAAAAAAAAGAATTAAATGCTTTACCAATATTTGTTCCAACCAATGAGTTAGAAGACAACATAGCAAAAAAAAAAAACCCCTTGAAATTACTATTATTTAAACAGAAAAATGAAATACAGAGATACAAGTTTGAAAAGTAATGAATAATATACCATATGAGCTTCAATTAGATACTAGAACATCATAACCAAAAATAACTTACTTTATAGCTGTTATTATTCGGTCTGACTTAATACTGGATTCTAATGAATCAAATGTAACGGTACAAAGCACCTAAAAAAGAAGAAAAAGAATTCCTCAGACTTTAATTTACTAACAACAAAGATGAACACTAAAAATATTTGAAGAACCAAATTAGCTCTTAAAGAAATGGAATAAGTACAGTCTATACAAAGCTTGCCATGGTACTTAATACAATAAACATTTGTTCATTCTATAAAGTTATATGTAAACCTCAATAACAATAATCCAAAAGTAAACTACGTATCACAGACTACAACACATAGACTGCAAATGTAAAGCACTATACTAGGAGTACTAGGGGCAGAGGACAGGAAGAGGAAGGAATATTTATAAAACCTGACCATAAAGGAAGCCTCAATAAACATTGAGCCAATAAAATTGTCTGCTTAAAATTAAAAAAAAAAATCAATCTTCTTTGGAGAGATATAACATAACCCAGAGACTCTACAATGTATTAGTCACAATGTTCAGGAGGCAACCTACAAAAAAACAGGAAATGGTGCCCATTCTCAAGAGAAAAGACAATGATTAGAGATTGACCCTAAGCTGATTCAGATGTTGGATTAACAGGCAAAGATTTTCTTTTCTTTTTTTTGAGGAAGACTAGCCCTGAGCTAACATCTGCCAATCCTCCTCTTTTGCTGAAGAAGGCTGGCCCTGAGCTAACATCTGTGCCCATCTTCCTGTACTTTTTATATGTGGGACACCTACCACAGCATGGCTTGCCAAGCGGTGTCATGTCCACACCCGGGATCCAAACTGGTGAACCCCGGGCCGCCGAAGGGGAATGTGCGCACTTAACTGCTTTGCCACTGGGCCGGCCCCAGACAAAGATTTTCAATAACTGTTATATTCAAGGACATAAAAAAGAACCAATGGAAATTCTAGAACTGAAAAATACATTATCTTATAATAGAAAGGAGATGACAAGAGTCGGTGAACATGAAGATGGATTAATGCAAACTGCCCAATCTAAAGAATAAACGGAGGGGCAGGAGGAAGGAAAAGAGTTTCAACACCTGTGGGACAATATCAAAAGGACTAAAATATGTACTTGCAATCACAGATGGACAGAAAAGAGAGAATGAGGTAGAAAAAGTACTTCAAGAAACTGGCTGAAATTTCTCAAGTTAAATGAAAGACACAAAATTATGGGTTCAAGCTCAGGAAACCCTTAGCAGGATAAATACAAAGAAAACCACACTTTTCATAGCCATACTGCTGAAAATTAAAGACAGAAAATCTTGAAAACACCCAGACAAAAACAATAAATAACATGCAAGGAACAATGATTTGAATGAGTCCTGATTTTGCATCAGAAACACTGGAGAAAAAAAGCAGTGGAACCATCTTTAAGTGCTGAAAGAAAAAAAGCATTGACCCAGAATCTATATTTAGCAAAAAGATTTTTTGTATGTAAAGGCAAAATAAAGACATTTCAGATAAATGAAAAATAAGAATTTGTTGTCCGAAGACCCATAGGACAATACTAAAAGAAGTCTTGTCAGATGGAAGGGAAATAATACTAGATGGAAACTTGGATATTCAGGAAGGAAAAAAAGCATGAGAAATGATGCAGGTCAAAATAAAAGACTGTCTTTTTCCTCCTCTTTACAATATAGGTGATTCTTAAAAATAAAAGTTATAACATTGCCTTGTGGCGTTTATAACAATGTGGATGTAACTCATAAGACAACTACAGCATAGAGGATGGAAGGAGGGGCAAATGGACCTAAATGATTGCAAACTTTCCTCATTTTAGGTGAAGTAGTACAAAATTAACTCCAAAAAGACCATGAACAGTTAAGGATGTATACTATATTCTCTATAGTAACCACTGGAAAATACTGTAGAGGTATAGCTAAAAAGCAAATAAACAACTTTAAATGGAATTCTAAAAAAATATTCAATAAATCCAAAAAGAAGGCAGAAAGAATAGAAAAACAAAAAACAGAGGAAGCAAAAACAAATAATAAAATGACAGACCTAAATTCAATCACATCAATAATTAAATTGAACATTAATGGACTAAACACTCCAGTTAAAAGGCAGAGATTATCAGAGTGGCTAACAAAAGTATGCAGAATATCTTAATGGAGTCACTTTGAAAACTTTATTAAAAGGCATAAAAGAAAACCTGAATCAAAGGTGAGATAGACTATAGTCATTGTAAAGACTAATTAAACTGTAAAAATATCATTTCTCTCTCAAATTAATCCATAAATTCAGTACAATACCAATCTAAATCCTAGAGAGATATGTTTTCATAACTTGATACAATACTAAAATTCAAATGAAAGAACAAATGTACCACAATAGCTAAGACAATTTTGGGGGTCGGGGGGAGAATAAAAAAGGGAGGATTTGCTTCTCAGATATTAAGACATACCCCAAATCCATAATAATTAAAACAGTTTCACACTGGCCCAGGAAACTTACAGAACAATACAAGAGAATATAGTTAAAAAAAGTATTTATAAACTTTGAATATGGTAAGGTGACATTACAAATCAATGGGAAAAATGAATTATTACTAAATAATGTTGTAAAATTGGCTCACTCTGGAGGTTTCCATCTCACACTGTGTATAGGAATAAGCTCTAAGATAGATGAATAGTCTAAATTTGATAGCTAAAATAGAAAGTTAATAGAAAAAGTATGTGCATAATTTTTTGACTTTGGGGTAAGAAAGGATTTCTTAAATAAGACTTTAAAAATACAAACCATAAAAGTAAAAAAGGGAAGGATTAACTACATCAAAACTAAAGATTTCAAGTTCACTCCATCATATTGTAGACTACCACAAGCAAAGTTAAAAGGCATATGATGGAGAGGGAGATGATACATACAAATTCTGGTTACAGAAAAGGATTGATATTTAAAACACAGAAATAACTGAAAAATAGTAGGAAAGACAGTAAATCATATTAAAAAAAGAAAAAAAATTGGCCAAAGGATATGAACAGATCATTTACAAAAGAGCAAACATGAACCAGGGCCATCACATTGTTCAACTCCAGGGACTGTATGAAAAGAGTGCCCTGGAGGTGTACAGACCTGAGTGTATGGTTTTATACAGTGACCATGTTGACTGGCTATTATATAAAGAGATGCTCAGCCTCACTTGTAATCAGGGAAATACAAATGAAAGCAAAGACATACCATTTTGTACCCATTAGTTGACAAAATTAAAGTAGCAATTAACATAAGAAAAAGAAAGAGGTATAAGCATAATACCATACACAAAACAATGGATACAGATATATGTTAAATAGAAGAGAATGGGTGCCTATTTAAGGGAAAAGAACAGGACTGAGGTACAGGCTACATGGAGAAAACAAATGAAGACCCTGAATAGACCAACAATGACAATATGCCATAAACTCAGGAGTATGAATGACTCAATTTTCCGCACCTAAGGTTAAAAGAAAAATACAATAAAAATACCAGATAATTCTGGAAAATGCAAAGCAATTTATAGTGACAAAAGCCGATCTGTAGTTGGCTGAGGAAAGGGAGGGGAGCAGGAGGAAGGGATTATAGAGAGGCACAAGGAAACTTCTGGGGGTGTTTGGTATGTTCATTATCTTGACTGTGGTGACAGTTTCCCAATTATATACATGTAAAAACTTATTAAACATACACTTTAAATATGTGCAGTTTCTGTACGGCAATCGTATCTCAAAAAAGCTGTTAAAAATCAGATATTAATCTGAATAGATAATACATTCTATATGATAAAAACCTATAGCGTCTACATAGTGTACTTCTGTTAGATCTAATCAAGCAATCCTGAATCAGCAAACAATTGTAGCTTTTTATATATCTTACCTGTGTTTGTCCCCTTTGAAATAATGCTGATCCATGAAGAATTTTAAACATATCTACCTCACAATTTATGTTCCTAAGTGAAGTTAAATCTCGACCATCACACCTATAGTAATAAAGGAAATAAGCATGTAAAGCAGTGTTGGAAATCAGAAAAATCACATATTTTCTTTTTATCCCTACCAGGAAGTTCTCAACCCCAGTTGCAAATCATAATCACCTGTAGAACTTTAAGAACTTTAAAAAATAATACACATACCTGGGCCCGGGCCCCACCCTAAGTCCCAGTGAATCAGAATCTCAGGGTTTGTGACCCATATACCTGTATTGTTAAAAAGCTCTGCAGGTAATTCTGATGTGCAGTCAGGGTTGGGAAGCACTGCTCTACACATGAGACCCACAGAGCGACAAACACATCCACAAAATCCACACACTCTTCTCATGTGAAAAAACCCAGTTCCTTAGTTTGAGCAAGTTGCCACTTTCAAGGCAACCTAACAAAGAAAGCACACACTTCAATTCCATCAAAAAAGGATACATTTACCTTTTGTATTCATTCAAAATAATACTTCTAAAAACCTCCTTCGAGACAACGTTGAAGGATTCTATTATTTCATATGGATCAACCTCTGGAAATTTTTCTATAGAAGAAAGACAAACCCAAACAAAGGTTTTGTTTTTTTGGAAGATACAATTTCTCTTAAGTTCACAGTATCAAATGAATTAACTATGGAAGTAAACCAAGGGAGCTGACTCTGAACATTAAGTCCTCAGGCAAACAAAGCAGATAAATCAAATGTTCCTCAAGTAGGAGAGACACAAGTATTACACCTCCAATGTATTGTTATTGGAACTTAGTTTGCTTTCTACCAGAACAAATAATTCCTTGAAATCAGCTCTCTATTGTATGTTACCTGGAGAAATTCAGCTAACCATATTAAGAAAAGCTCTAAGTGATACTTTTAAAGAGTAATCACCTTCACTCTTTGCTTTAGGAACTTTTATCTTAGTCTGCAAATAGAGGAATAATTTTCTTTATATATTACAAATCTCTAACGACTGTTTTTTTAGTTAACATTTATCAGGTTCCTTCATGACCCAGGTACATGTTTCTTTTTTAATGCCTTTAATCTTTACAACAACTTATGAAATAAATTCTATTATTAGATATAATAATATCTATTATTATCCCCATTCTACAGAAGAAAAAATAGGCCTAAGAGGTGGAATAAATTGCCTGAGATCACACATGCAGTAACTGACACAGCTGTGATCTGAATACAGATCTGTCTGCCTAAGCTTATGCTTTTAAAAATTTTAAGCTACTTTATCAGTTGATTTATGCCAAGTTTTTCAGCACTGTTCTCTCAAGCATTTGGTTTATTAAATATAACTTTAAAGTAATCAGAACATTAGAAATGGCCACAGAAAGATATATTAAGTATTGTATCTTCATCAGGCAAGAATAATTTTAAATATTATACTTCGACATGAACTTTTATGCTTTAACTGGGTTCACTTGGAGAGGAAAATAATTAGTAACAAAACATTTAAAATATTATCCTATGGGGGCCGGCCCTGTGGCTGAGTGGTTAAGTTCGAGCGCTGTGCTTCAGTGGCCCAGAGTTTCACCAGTTCAGATCCCAGGCGCGGACATGGCAACCCTCGTCAGGCCACACTGAGGCGGCGTCCCACATGCCACGACTAGAAGGACCCACGACTAAAATATACAACTATGTACTGAGGGGATTTGGGGAGAAAAAGCAGAAAAAAACCCCCAAAAACCGAAAAAACAAGATTGGCAATAGTTGTTAGCTCAGGTGCCAATCTTTAAAAAAAAAAAATGAAGATATTCTACTATGTATGATATAAACACAAAATCACTTTTCTTTTTAAATAAGGCAACAGGTGTTATACAACTTCTCATGCTTAACAGGATGAAATATAGTGAAAAAAGACTAACCTCTTTCAACGGCAGTTACAAGTAATGGCCTTAAATAGCAATGCTAACAGGAGAGTTTTTATCTTAAAACAGGATACTCAGGTGAGAGGATATTCGTCCATTAGCAGAAAAATTAACAAGAACTATATGTCATGCTTGGTAGACATTCAGTTTGTGTGTGATTGATATTATACAATAAAATCCTTTGCTTAATAATTTCTAGAGAGCGAAATTCTCTAAAATCTAAACTTCACAATTCCACATAATATCAATAACAATGATAACGGTTAATGTTTATTGAACACTTGCTATATGCCAGACACAGATGTAAATGATTTACTCCCCATGAACTAGATATTACTAGTTTTTCAATTTCACAGATTAAGAACTTAAGAATTTTAAAGAATATATTTCAGGTTTTCAAATGACAGGATACAAAGATATTCATGTTAGAGTCTAAGTGTCTGATCTAGATTAGGAATATTTCACATTCAACATTTACTGGTGCCCACTCTGTCAGGTGCGGTGCTGACCACATTCCTAGAAGTTAATTTAACACTAACTTTGGGACATATCATTATTGCAAATTTACTGAAGATAAAACTAAGGAGCAATGAGAATAACTGATTTCCTCCAAATCACACAACTAAAATTTAAACATCTATTATTTCCTTTAAAGATGTTTTTAAATTAAAAAAAAATTTACCTTTTAGTTGTTCCTCTGTATCTAATCTTATCTTGTTAACAGCTTCATCTCTGGAAATCTAAAAGAAAGTTGAGATTTAGTTATTATATATACATGGCAACGTTTAACACTTCTATTTTTAAATTATTATACAATTAACATATTGTAATAGTAGTCAGATCTCTCTAATGGCAGTATTCTTTAAAAGATTAGAACTGGTTATTGATTTACAAGAAATATTACCTGTTTAATTCATTCAAATATATTTACACACTTCCCTAAAACTTGTATTAATCAACAAAAGGAGAATGGAGAAGCAAACAGGCTTTTATTTAGCTTTCTGTTTAGAGATTTTTCATAAAAATAGGACTAACATTCATAAACATAATTATGTGATTTATGACAAAAAACAATTCCCAGAACCGAATACAACAATATATCAAAAAGATTATACACCATGATCAAGTGGGATTTATACCAGGGACACAGGGATGGTTCAACATCTGCAAGTCAATCAACGTGATTCACTACATTAACAATATGAGAAACAAAAACCACATGATCATCTCAATACATGCAGAGAAAGCATTCGACAAGATCCAACATCCATTTATGATAAAAACCCTCAATAAAATAGGTATAGAAGGAAAGTACCTCAACATAATAAAGGCCCTATGTGACAAACCCACAGCCAACATCATACTCAACGGACAAAAACTGAAACCCATCCCTCTCAGAACAGCAACAAGACAAGGGTGCCCACTTTCACCACTCTTAATCAACATAGTACTCGAGGTGTTGGCCAGAGCTATTCGGCAGGAAAAAGAAATAAAAGGAATCCAAATAGGCAATGAAGAAGTAAAACTCTCGCTGTTTGCAGACGACATGATCTTATATATAGAAAACCCCAAAGAATCCTTAGAAAAACTATTAGAAACAATCAACAACTACAGCAAAGTTGCAGGGTATAAAATCAACATACATAAATCAGTACCATTTCTGTATGCTAACAATGAACTAACAGAAAAAGATCTCAAGAACTCAATCCCATTCACGATCGCAACAAAAAGAATAAAATACCTTGGGATAAATTTAACCAAGGAAGTGAAAGATCTATACAATATAAACTACAAGACCTTCTTGAAAGAAATCGACGACGACATAAAGAGACGGAAAGACATTCCATGCACATGGATTGGAAGAATAAACGTAGTTAAAATCTCCATACTACCTAAAGCAATCTACAGATTCAACGCTATCTCAATCAGAATTCCAATGTCATTCTTTACAGAAATTGAACAAAGAATCCAAAAATTCATATAGGGCAACAAAAGACCCCGAATTGCTAAAGCAATCCTGAGAAAGCAGAACAAAGCTGGAGGCATCACAATCCCTGACTTCAAAACATACTACAAAGCCACAGTAATCAAAACAGCATGGTACTGGTACAAAAACAGATGCACAGATCAATGGAACAGAATTGAAAGCCCAGAAATAAAACCACACATGTATGGACAGCTAATCTTTGACAAAGGAGCTGAGAGCCTACAATGGAGGAAAGAAAGTCTCTTCAACAAATGGTGCTGGGAAAACCGGACAGCCACATGTAAAAGAATGAAAATCAACCATTCTTTTTCACCATTTACTAAAATAAACTCAAAATGGATCAAAGACCTAAAGATTAGGCCTGAAACAATAAGTCTTCTAGAAGAGAATATCGGCAGCACACTCTTTGACATCAGCTTCAAAAGAATCTTTTTGGACACCATAACCCCTCACATGAGGGAAACAATAGAAAGAATAAACAAATGGGACTTCATCAGGCTAAAGAGCTTCTTCAAGGCAAGGGAAAACAGGATTGAAACAAAAAAACAGCCCACTAATTGGGAAAAAATATTCACAAGTTATTTATCCGACAAAGGGTTAATCTCCATAATATACAAAGAACTCACACAACTCAACAATAAAAAATCAAACAACCCAATTACAAAATGGGCAGGGGACATGAATAGACATTTCTCCAAAGAAGATATACGGATGGCCAATAGACACATGAAAAGATGCTCATCATCACTAATCATCAGGGAAATGCAAATCAAAACTACACTAAGATATCACCTTACACCTGCTGGAATGGCAAAAATATCCAAAACCAAGAGTGACAAATGTTGGAGAGGCTGTGGAGAAAAGGAAACCCTCATACACTGTTGGTGGGAATGCAAACTGGTGCAGCCACTATGGAAAACAGTATGGAGATTCCTCAAAAAGTTAAGAATAGAGGGGCTGGCCCCGTGGCCGAGTGGTTAAGTTCACGCGCTCCGCTGCAGGCGGCCCAGTGTTTCGTTGGTTCGAATCCTGGGCGTGGACATGGCACTGCTCATCAAACCACGCTGAGGCAGCGTCCCACATACCACAACTAGAAGGACCCACAACAAAGAATATACAACTATGTACCAGAGGGGCTTTGGGGAGAAAAAAGGAAAAAAATAAAATCTTTAAAAAAAAAAAAAACAAAGTTAAGAATAGAAATACCTTATGACCCAGCCATCCCACTACTGGGTATCTATCCTAAGAACCTGAAATCAGCAATTCCAGAAGTTCCATGCACCCCTATCTTCATTGCAGCATTATTCACAATAGCCAAGTCATGGAACCAACCTAAGTGCCCAGCAACTGATGATTGGATAAAGAAGTTGTGGTATATATATACAATGGAACAGTACTCAGCCATAAAAAAGGACAAAGTCGTCACATTCACAACAACATGGATAGACCTTGAGGGTATTATGTTGAGTGAAATAAGCCAGACAGAGAACGATGAACTCTTTATGACTCCACTCATAGGTGGTAGTTAACATATGGACAAAGAGAACTGATGGGTGGTTGCCAGGGGAAAGGGGGGTGGAGGGAGGGCACTAGTGGTGAAGTGTTGTACCTACAACATGACTAATAATAATGTACAAGTGTAATTTCACAAGGATGTTAACTTTTATAACCTTAATAAAAAAATATATTAAATATATATTAAAAAAATTCCCAGAACAATTATATAAGAAAATTCAGGTATACCTACTTTATCATGTTCATAATCCGTAAAAACTGCATAGAGTCTTTCCATGGCGAGTCTATTTTAAGCACAAAATAAATGTCAGCATATTTGGAAACACAAAGCAGTGTCTATCACAAACAACACTGAACTATTTAATAATAAACATTTTATAAAGAATTAGAAATATGTATTGCTCTTTAACATTGCTAATATGATATAGAACATAATAATATGCTATAGAACATAAATTTCTTTCTCCCTCCCTCTCAGGGGAATCATTCACACATGGTACTATGCCCTCCCTTCTTAATTGTTTAATTAATTTCACCTTAGATTTTTATTATTCTCTCTCTCTCCACACAGTCTCTCTTTTTTTAACCTCTTGCTTTTTTTTCTTCTATCCATTTTGGTTGTTATTGCAGGCAAGTCTTTTATGGGGAACAGTTTATATAACGTTTTAATTTCTGATGGCTCTAAGACTGATACTAAGGGAAATACTAACTTTTTCAATTTATTTCAAATAAAATGAAATAACTTTCTGGTGATCATTCACATTTACTGAGTGCCTGCCTATGTGCAGGCACTATCCTAAGCACTTGGCATATAGTGGTGGTTATACTTGATTTCTTTTGGAGAATCTCAACAATTTCCTTAGATATTCAAATATTTTACACTTTATTCTCCTTTTCCTTGACACAGAGAGAAATGCAGATTATCTGAACATTGAACAATAAACTCACTCCCCCTTTCATTACAGGTTCACACTTAGGCCCTTAAAGAGGGATGTGGGTTTATCCTTTTGAAAGCATTAAATTGGTATTTATAGCAATGACTCTTAAAATGTGGAAGAGTATTACTTAAGAGGTAATGCATGGACAGTGCTTCCATTAACTCTGGTGACAATTTCATATTTTCTTTTGTACAAATGTTCTTACTTATGAGTGTGTTTCACAATCTCTGGCGAAGGGATAAATAACTTCTGAGGTGTCCTCTTGGTAACACCAATTTCTTTTACCAATTGCTGGATGCCCTGTATTATTTGTTGTGTATATTTTACTCCCACTTTGATAGCATGGCAAAAGTCCTGCTGTAAAATGTTCTCTGCAGAGGCTTCCAACATGACTATTTAAAGGGAAAAAAAAAAAAAAGATTGCCATTGAACCTTTTACCAATATAGTATTTTCAAGTACCATGACATGACATAAATACTACAGATCAATTTTGTTTATTAATGGTATATACAGCTTTTTGATTTCTTTCCTCAGAATCAACATACTTCCAAAATGTGAACAGTGGAGGATGAATAAAGAAACCTTGATATTTGAAGTTAGGTTTATATTCTTCTTAAATTTAATGAGGGATTTCTCATAAAAAATGAAACAGAAAAGAAAATAAACTATGCATATTGTTTTTTCTTTTGAGGAAGATTAGCCCTGAGCTAACTTCTGCTGCCAATCCTCCTCTTTTTGCTGAGGAAGACTGGCCCTGAACTAACATCCGTGCCCATCTTCCTCTAGTTTATATGTGGGACACCTACCACAGCATGGCATGCCAAGCGGTGCCATGTCCAAACCCGGGATCTGAACCAGCGAACCCCAGGCTGCTGAAGCAGAACATGTGCACTTAACCGCTGCGCCACTGGGCCAGCCCCTACATATTTTTTATAACAGCTTTATTGGATATAATTTAAATACCATAAAATACCACCTTTTAAAATATACAACTGCATTTATTTTTAATCTGTATTTGAAATGAAATTTAAAACTATCAGCACAGTAGTTATCCAATAAATGTTTCCTGTTTAACAATTATTTAATGTGATCTTCCACTTAATTCTGTCATTGTCACAATGTCTAATGCTTAGACAGGTGGGGAAATCTTTGCAGTGATACTGTTTCAAATAAGCCAACCAGAAGGCCCCAGCTACTACCATAAAAAGGTTGCTTTTATTGGTTTTGTAATAGTAAAACTCCTATGTAAAGCAGGGAAGCTCCAAGGTAGGGTTCTAGTATGGTATCTAGCTAAAATCTTCTATTCAGCTTTGGCTTTGGTTTCTGCAAGGCTGAATGACTCTTGCCTACTTGTGTGTTATTTCTGGCATTTCTCAACTTACATAAAGTAAAAGATCATAGTAGTGCATATTTACCATCATATGTAATATGTTTAACCACAATCATGTTGGTTAAGATTTATTATTATCCAATAAGTCACTTCTGAGGCATCTAGGTATAATCTAGAATGAAAAAAAATCTCCTTATGTTCTTTATACTTTGGAATTCTATCACTCAATTGAAGCAGACCTATGAAACTATACCAAAGATCTGACATTCATGTCATCAGAGTCCTGGAAAGAGAGGAACAAGATGGCAGGGCTGAAAAGTACTGGGGAACAAAATAGCTGAAAACTTAACAAATTTGGCAGACATAAACCTACAGATTCAAGAAGCTAAAGGAATCCTACTTAGGACACATCACACACCAGAAAGACACATCACAATTAAACTTCTAAAAGCCAAAGATAAAGCAAAATATCTTGAAACCAACTAGAGAAAAACGATACCTTACCCATATGGGAAAAGCAATTCAAATAACAGCACATTTATCATCAGAAACCATGGAGGCCAGAAGGAAGTGGTGTGATATTTTTCAAGTGATGAAAAAAAGAACTGTCAACCCAGAATCCTATATCTAGTGAAAATATTTAGGAGTGAAGGGGAACTCATGATATTAGATGAAGGAGAACTAAGAAAATTTGTCACCGGCAGACCTACTCTAGAAGAATGGCTAAAGGAAGTTCTCTAAACAGGAAGGAAACAATAAAGGAAGAAAACATATTAGGAACATATTAAGCAAAAATATGAGTAAATACAGTACATTTTCTGTCTCCTCTTGAGTTTTCTAAATTATGTTTGATGGTTAAAGCAAAGCAAAAATTTTAACAATGCCTATTGTGGTTCTAAATGTAAAGGAATATTAAAACAATTATAGTGTAAATGGGGGAGGGTAAAGAGAGTAAGATTTCAACACTTCACTTGAGGTATGAAGAAACTTCCTCTGACACCATGATACTGAGATGGTTATCTTCTTTTTCTCATCTGTAATGTCATGACATCCCTCTCACTTTCACAGAATTAAATTTAAGATTGAAAAAAATGTATGTAACATATGTAAATTTCACCTCAATAAATTGATTTAAAAAAGAATATTAAAGGAATATGGTCAAGAAAATGAATATTCCTCAAATAAACCTTGTTTTCACCAATTAAACCTCAAAGCAATTCATTTTTAAAAAAGCTTTAAAGGAAAATTCCTTATAGTTTTGAGTGTCTGGACCTGTGCTGTCCAATATGATAACTACTAGCCTTGTGTGGCTATTTACATTTAAATAAATTAAAATTACATAAAATTAAAAATTCAGTTCCTCAGTCCTCTAGCCACATTTCAAGTACTCAGTAGCCACATATTCAGATATAGAACACTTCCTTCATTGCAGAGAATTCCACTGGAGAGCACTACTATAGAGGCTAAAAATTTAAACAAAAAAGCTTGTCAAAATGATTGCTCAAAATTGTTAACCATTTTCAATAGTTGAAGATAAAGGACTTTTAAGATTAGTTGAAGCTATGAATTCTAGATACAAATTTCTTCTTAAAAATTGTTACTGGTATACTTTTTCCTGAATTATATCCTAGCATACATAGAAAGATTAGTGATATTAAATGCACCAGTTGAAAACAAGCATCTAAATAACATTGTGCAGAATAATGGTTGCTGAAGTAATCTAGCAGCTGACAGCACAAAGAAACTATTCTTGCCCTATAAGGTCATGCTTTAAAGATTCAGATTACTAAATAGTTTTATAATGAAATGGTGGCAGTTACTCTTTTGTATTTTTGTATCCCAGAAGTTCCACAATGGTGGTATTTGACTTGGGCCCAATATTAACTTTAACACATAAACATGGGGTCAAATGTATGTTTGGTGCACCTTTACAAAAGCACAGCGAGCTAGCTGAGTATCTTCCTGGAAATAGTGGAGGCTGGTAATTTCTGAAACCAGTCTTCTTACAGTTTGGTTCTGAATCACTCTCAGCCTCCCTCCAATTACTCAAGACTACCTTCTGATGGTTTATGCAGTCTCTAGAGTCTCATTCTTCCATCTAGAGAGCAAAACGGGAGACCAGCCAGCTGGAAGCCTGCCTACTGGGTTTCTATGGCATGGCATAGATGCAGTAAAGATCTTAGTTCATTCCTCCAGTGTCTACTTAAAATTAGAAGGGTTCAAGCTCTAAGGCAGATAGAGGCTATATGACTGTTTAGAAGCAAGTGTACTTCTGTGTCTTAATGATAATAGCAGGTATTAACGGTATGCCTACTAAGTACTAGGTATTATGCTGGATACTTTAGAAACCTAGATCCTAATTTTTTTTTTTTTAAGATGAAATCATTCTCTTTTTTAAAGACTGGCACCTGCGCTAACATCTGTTGCCAATCATTTTTTTTTGTCTTTTTCTCCTCAAAGCCCCCCGGTACACAGTTGTATATTCTAGTTGTGAGTGCCTCTGGTTGTGCTATATGGGATGCCGCCTCAGCATGGCCTGATGAGTGGTGCCATGTCCGCATCCAGGATCCGAACTGGTGAAACCCTGGGCTGCTGAAGTGGAGCGCGCAAACTTAACCACTTGGCCATGGGGCCAGCCCTGACCCTAATCTTCACAACAACCCTGTAAAGTAGCCAAATCAGTTTACTGATTGAAAGTAAATCAACACTGTAACTTTAAGCAAAAGAAAATTTCAGATGCTGACCAAGTGAACTTAAAACAGTAAACCAATACTTTGCTCAGGGCCCTTAATGAGATACTCAAATATGATGCAAGGGTCATATGTTATTCATGGCTTCCCCAAATCATTGGAATACTCTCTCTAAATTGTGATAGTTCCCCACAGTATGAATCCCACCTTCTAGAGGTAGAATCCAAAAACCATTTCCTTGCCTCCCTTGTTGTCAAGGATGCAGTCAAGTGTCACAGTTCTGCCCAATGAGATTTTAGGTAGAAACTGCTGTGTGGGGACTTCTGGGAAAGCTCCTTAGGAGGGTGACTCACTTAGTTGGCACACACCTTTTTGCTATTCCCCTCCTTTTTCTTCCTCCTACCTCTAAGTCAGATAAGTTGGCCAGAGTTCATAGCCTGTTCATAAGCATGAAGATGAGGGCCACACTTTGAGGATAACAGAGCAGAAAGCTAGAAGGAATCAAGATTTCTTAAAACATACTATGTTGCTGCTATAACTCTCTTGGACTCACTACTTCCGAATTTCTTTTACCTGAGAGAAAAATAAATTCCCATCTTGTCTAAGCCTTGTTATTTAGTTTAACAACATAATCTCTAACTAATATGTAGATATACATACAACTCCTGTTACATGTGTTTTATCTATCATACAGTACCTAATTCTAACTTACCAACATTCCAAAAGAAAAAGCTAGAAATGTGTTTCACACATTAATTGTACAAAAAAGCACTAAAAGGTTAGTAGTTTACGTATCATCAGAATGTTCCCATATCAGAAGATCCCATGTCAAAAAGTCCCAGACATCAAATGTCACATAGTGGAATAAACTGATGATAAGAGACCTTAATTAATTTGTTCAAAGTCACATGGCTAAGTATGTGGCAGATGCTGGGTTTCAAACCCAGGTCATTCTGACTGCTAGAGCCTATTCTCCTTTAACACAACCAGCCTCTGATTTTCAATCGTGCAATTATGACATTTTTGTTACAAGGAGTGAAGGTGACCCATGGTGAGTGCATTTCTTCTACTTTATTACTAGTTTCCACCTCCTGGAAATAGGTTACTTCTTTCTCAGAAGACATCACACAGGCTTAGAATGACTGAATTAGCTGAATTAACATATTTAAACTAAAAAACAATTTATTACCAGATTTAGAACTTTAATTTTTAGACTAGCTTACCAGTCTAAAAAGAATTTCTTATAAAAAGAAATCCCTTGGTAAAGATTTTTGTATATTTCAATTAAAGTCGTACAACATTCTATAATCTTAGGTATTGTTTGATCTGAAGTAAGAGCACTACCAAAATAGGGCAGCAATAAAACAAAACAAAAATCTTTATGGCTAACTGACAAAACATACATACCAAAAAGAGTTTAAATGCATTTTTAAGATGCCAGAACTTGTAAGTATAATCCAGAATGTAGTACTTAAACTACTTACCAATCTGACTTTTAGGTGCTCCAGCAACCACTAAATTTAAAGTACTGGAAGACATTTCTTTTCGTGTTGGGTTAACAACACATTCTCCATCAATCATTCCTATTCGTACTGCCCCTAAAATATATAATGAAATGTTGGCAATTATTTAGTAAAAACTCACTTTGCAAGACATTATTCCAGCAATGGCTTCAATCCCTATCTTCAATTATGACCATAATAAAATCCCTATTTCTACCACGGTATTTAAGGCCCACAGGGCATCCTACCCTACCCTACCTTCTGGCCTCACTGGACCACTCTGAGTTGCTCAGATTTCACCGTTTCTTCCACACCTCTGCGATTATGCTCATGCTCTTCTCTTGATCTAGAATGTACTTTCTCCAAAACAAATGCTTACTATCTGATTCTACTGAGGTTCAGCTTAAATGTTGACTACTCTGGGAAGCCCTCCTTCACAATCTGACCTTACAAGGGTAAACTCGACCTTCTCTATCATTTTCTTAGTACTTTGCTATACCTTTATAATACTGTTTATAAATAATTACTTGTCTCTTTCCCATACTTACGCTGAAAGCAAGAACTGCCTCATTCATCTTTGTATTGCTAGTGCCTAGTGTGCCTTTGTTCTTTCAGTGTTTAGGTCAGTATCTGGCATTTATGACACAATAATTATTTACTTTATGAATTATTTTTACATTGCATGATTATGACTTATAACAGCTGTAAATTACAAACACGTTTGTTTTATTCTGAGAATATGTACTCTGACAATTTTCCAGTCAAAAGAAAAAAAACTCCTCATATAGAAGAGGTAACTAAGAAGTCAAAATATCCAGTGACATAAAATCTCTAACACCATAACATATTGCTATCAGAAATGAAACCCAAAGCAAGGATGAAAATGTCTCAAAGAGCAGAAAGGAGTCTTAGAATGTCTGTCATCTAATTCAACTCCCTAAGAGATGATAAATTGGAGTCAACAAATCTACGACCTTGTGTTAGCATGCTCACTAGCATTTTCTGAAAAAACACAAATGTTTATGTTCAAATCCTAACTTACCAACAGGTCCATTCCAAGGAATATCTGATAATGAGAGGGCTACAGAAGCTTAAAAAAAGAAAAGACAAAAGCTGAAATAAAATATTTCATTGCTTTAAAAAAATCAAGTGATCATTTTAATCTTTATTTTTATACTTACCACCATTAATTGCTAGGACATCAGGTTCATTAACACCATCTACTGCTAACAGATTACAAAGGACCTGTAGAAGGTAAAAAAAAATTCAAAGTGCTTAAAAAAAACTACTTGTTTTGGCAGGATTATCATTTACGTGAACATCTTGGCCTAAACTATAGCAGCACTATATGGTTAAAAGTATGGGCTTTATAGTCAAACCCTGAATTCTGGCTATCATTTAACTACATGCTTGACCTTGGACAAATTCCTTAAATCAAGCCTCAAAAGTTTCCTCATCTTTAAAAGGGAAAAACAATAGCAGCGTCTTCCTAAAAGTTTCCTGGAAAATTACAGGAAATATTGTGTGTAAAGCATTTACCACAATGCTGGGCATGTTGCAAGTACACAGTAAATGTTGGCTATTTCTATTACATAAAAGTATTTTTGTCTTCTGTTTGTAAGCATAGAGAAAACAAACCAATGAATTACTTTACACTGCAATAATAAGCCTACGTTATACACTAAAGAAAATAACTTCTTGAGGCTGTGACATCCTTGCAAAGGCCTATTTGCAGGGCATATTTCTTTTTATCAAATAAAGTGTATATGGGTCATTATTCTGAAAGAAAATAATTTCAGAAATTATTAAAATATAACAAAGCAGAGGTTTAGAGGACCCATTAATAAAGAAAGGTAATGAAGGTAAGTTGTTTTGATTATTCTAGCCACTGTTACTAATATGACCTGTATGGCCCAGCCTCATCTATCCCCACCCACCTCAATCACAATGACCTTCCTTCTTTCAGACTCACCAATTTCTTTCCTGCCTCAGGGCTTTCATACTTCCCATTCCATCTGTCTGCAATGCTTTCCCCAAACTCCTTGGCTGGCTAATGCCTACTCATAATTCAGGTATCAGCACAAAGTGACACTGAGTAAATGTTAGCCATCTTTTTAAAAAAACAATATAAAATGCAGCAGCATCACCAAAAATTCTTACTGTGTATTCTTTACAATGTTTAGCCTAGGAGGTATTATAGAGATTCCTTAAGTTAGTTTTGATTGAAGTGGAAACAAATAAACCTAAAGCAGAACCTACCTGTGTATCATAAAAGTAGCCAGCTGGAAAGAGAGGTCTAATTGAACGATCTGCCAAAACAAAACAAAGAGAAGACATTAACTAGTACTGACAGAAGTTGTTTTACAGTTCAAAACTTTTCCCCATTAAACACCAGGCTAAAAAAATAATACAGCTAGCTATTCAATGTCAAGAAAAAAGTAAAAATAAAAATAAAAAAATCCCTTGGACTGATTTACTGAGAGGACATAGATGAATGTCAGTGTTTCAATTAATACACACCATGCCCTAACAAGAAAAAATTACTAGGGCAAGAAAACACAATTCTAAAATTGAGGAGCAACTTTTCATATATAAGTAGAGGAGAGAACAGGAACGATTAAGGGGCTTAGTGGTTAGGTTCATGTGCTCCACTTCCATGGCCTGGGGCTTGCTGGTTTGGATCATGGGCGCGGACCTGCATGCCTCATCAAGCCATGCTGTGGTGGCATCATACATAGAAGAACTAGAAGGACTTACAACTAGGATATACAGCTATGCACTGGGGCTTTGGGGAGGGAAAAAAAGGGGAAGACTGTCAACAGATGTTGGCTCAGGGCCAATCTTAAAAAAAAGAATAGGAAAGATTAAGAGCAGACCAAAAGAAAATCCTTCCTTGGCATTCTGTGTGTGACAAATGCATATAACTACACACACTAGCAATTTATGTGTAGAAGAGCTATAAACTACATATGATCCTACAATATTTAAGGATATCAAAGATTTGAAAGATTATAGACATATTTCAGTGGTTAATGAATATAATGCTTTCAAGAATTATAAGGGGCTGGCTCCGTGGCCAAGTGGTTAAGTTCGTGCGCTCTGCTGTGGCGGCCCAGGATTCAGATCCTGGGCGCATACATGGCACCGCTCATCAGGCCACGTTGAGGCGGTGTCCCACATCCCACAACCAGAAGGACCTGCAACTAAGATATACAACTATGTACGGGGGGGGGGGGGGGGGGGGGCGGGGTTGGGGAGATAAAGCAGGAAAAAAAAAAAAGAATTACTATACGGAACATGAAAATGAAAAATACTAGGGATAGGTTCAACAGAGAGCCGTGAGCCACAGAATTTATATGCTCAATAGAGATTCATTTGTTTAGTCAACAAATATTTACTGAATGCCTGTTTTGTGCCAGGTAGTATACCAGGTACAAGGGATTCAGTAGTGAACAAACAGAAAGGTTTTTCTCTCATGGAGCCCACATTTAAATGAGGTGATACAGAGAGTAAATAATTTCAGGTGGTGTTCATGTAATGAAGAAAAATTCAAGAGAGACTGTAGAACACAGATGGAAGAGAAGAGATGCTAACACAGGAATATCAAAGACGGTTAATGCCTCTATCTTAATATCTTACCTATTACTCGACTTGTAAGAATTTCTTTATCAGAAGAACCAATCTCTCTTCTAAGATAGTTTGTGGGAATTCTACCTGCTGCAGCAGCCTTCTGTCTATAGTCAACCTGAAGTAGCAATGAAAAAAATGAAATTCATTTGACTCCTTTTTGTAATAACAAACTATCCCCCAAGAACTACTATATTGATACTAATTCTCCTGAGGCTGCTAACAACACATTCCAGACTAAGAGGATTTTATTTACTTTTAGCATTTTGTATCTCTTGGGGAAAGGAGAAATGTTTCAGCAAACTGATTTTAAAAAAAGTCTTCACTTAGCAGTCAGATGACTATCTAGCCTCACTACTTCCCACAGTAGCTTATTCTGGGCAAGTCAAACATTGCCTTTTTTGTATAAACTCTGTTAATTGTAACTGCATTCCCCTTTTCATAATAGAAAGAAGCCAAAAAATCCTAACTCTTCACTAAACATATACTTGCAGAATCATACTGAAGGAAAACCTATGAAAGCAATGTTCACTCAACATCAAAGGACTCATGCACTTCCACTGTTCTTGTCAACTCAATGCATCTGGACATTCTAAACTATGCTTACTGCTAATATGAGAAGTGGTTATGAAGCAATCAATTTAAATTCGTTTAATGACTCAGTATCAAACAAGGAAAATCCTTTGTTGTATGAAGTTTACATTTTGCACCCATTACACTGTACAAAAATATCACAAATTCTACATTTATGCTATATTACAGTTCAGGTAAATCAGTAAATACTTACCACCAAAGGCAAGAACTGGGAAGGTGAAGGTTTTGTTTTACTGACTGCTGTGACCATCACCGCAGTGTCACCTGACTTAAATATAAACAACACTGGTAAATTCCTTTAAACTCATATTAACATATAAGTAGTGACTGAATGAAACCTCGTTCCAGTTAAACCCAAGGAAAGAGAACTGTTATTCCATGACTCCATGACAATGAAAATAATAATTCACAAATAGTCCTACCTTGATCTCTTTTACATGATCATGATCTATATTAGAATAGTCACTGAGCTTTTCGAAAGCAATAGAACTAAAAGGAGAAAAGTTCACTGATAGCTTAGTTACATCCAATTGATTTTCTACTTCTTATGAGGAAATTTAGGTTATATATAAAGAAAAATTTCTTAAATATTAGTATTAAAGAAAACAATAAAATCACTTTCTCTAGAAAAGCATTACAATTTATTAACAGAATAAAAGAGAACCCCAAGTTTGGAAGAGATCTTAATATATCCAGCCCTCTGACTCCCTAGTTGTCTGGAATGGTTCTGACGCTAGAAATGGTCTGAATTAATTTCCAGCACCACAATTCTAAGTTACATTATGTTATAAAGATAGTCAGTACTGGTCTCCATAACCGTTTTTAAGACGAAAATTTTAAAACCTAGACTTTTTACCTGTACTACAGCAGAGCCATCTGCAAATCTGGCCAGTTTTCCAGAGGATATTTCTAATTTTCTGTTTAAAAATAAAAATTCAATACAAAAGGACTTAGGTCACCAGTACAAAGGAAAACACATATCCATGCAGAAATTTGCACACGAACGTTCACAGCAGCATTATTCATAATAGCCCCAAAATGGAAACAACTCAAATGTCTGTCAACTGATGAATGAACAAACAAAATGTGGTATAACACATAAAGTGTAATACTGTTCAGCCATAAAAAAAAATGAACTACTGATACTTGTTACAACATGGATAAGCCTTGGAAACATTATGCTAAATGAAAGAAGGCAGTCACAAAAGACACATATCATATGATCCCATTCATATGAAATGCCCAGAATAGGCAAATGTACAGAGACAGAAAGTAGCATCAGATCACCACCCACCTACTGCTGAAATCAGTAGTCATGCTCTGCTTAAGGATGGGGGCAAGTTCTGAGAAATGCATAATTAGGTGATATTGTCATTATTCTAGCATCATAGAATGCATTTACACAAACCTAGATGGTATGACCTACTATACACCTAAGCTATATGGTACTAATTTTACGGGACCACCGTCATATATGCAGTCTGTTGTTGACTGAAACATCGTTATGCAGCTCATGACTGTATTAAATTAAGGTTTTATGTGGTCAAACGTAAATTTGGGGTCTTGAAATTTTGTTTGATCCTAAAAAAGAATATGCTACCAGTACTTCTCAAGACATACCAGGAATTGGAATTCCATCTACTAATGTGAATTATGAATGTCTGAGTGATACCTGTGATGGGGTGGGTAGTATCTCTAAATAGATTGAAGTGAGCCCAAGACACAGAGAAGAGCTCTGAAAGCTACAGTTCTATTCCACTGATGGGGATCTTGACCCAGAATTTTTGGGATTGCCCACAGTGGCATATTCTGACCACTTCGGTCTGAGGATAACATGTATCACTTCTTCTCAGCTTCCACTGGTGAAAACCAGGTACATGGCCCCATCTATATGTAGGCACTAGCATTGTCCCAAAGAAGAGAGCACATGTACTCAACAGCATGAGCCAAGGAATGGACTATCCCCTCCCTGGCTAAGAACCAGCCCTCTTGTATCAACAGGCAGAGAAGTGGAGCCAGGGAAGCACTGTTAAGCTTCTAACACGAATATATCTACAATGGGGACTGATCAAATCAGTGAGAAAAACAAACATGTCTGCAGTACCCAAGATGTTCTCAAACATGCATTCTTGGATTTATATATTTATTCAAACACCAAATTCTACCTTCTTTGTTCCCTCTGTTGAGTCTACCCAGTGTCTCCTTAGGGGTCCTAGGTCACTCACCAGATAGTTCTATGGTCCTGCCTTGGTGACTGCCCTAATTCAAACTGTTTTTCTTCCAGGTGTTTGCAATTTATATTATGCAAAGAACCAGGTGGCTACTCTCCATTATAGCTCATGATTTCAGCTGATGTTAACTAACCTATGTAATTTTTTTCTGTCCCTGCACTTTTAGTTCTGTTTTTGGTGCAAAATTGTTAGTACTTTTGTATTTCATGGTTGATTTTACCTCTTACCAATTTACTCTCCTATATTTTATGTATCAGATAGCTCTAAATACGTACAAAATTGATAACACATCAGTAGTTTCTGGGGATTGGAACTGGGTGGCTATGGAACTGTATGAGGAGATTTTTGGGCTTTTTAAATGTTGAACCATGTAAGTGAATACCTAATTAAAAACTACTTTCGAAAAAATAAATAATAAAAAGGATAAGATGAGCAGGGAGATCCTATTGGTAGGGAGAAGACTGGGAGGAGGTAACTGAGAAACAGAGAAAGGGAAGAGAGGAGCCACCTGCCACAGGAAGTAGAACTCCAGGGAGAGAGATGCTTAATGAACATTTTTAGAAATATTTGCAGAATGATAGGGAATGTAACCACCTTCCTCCAACTTCTACCAAGAAAAATTCAGTAATATAAAACAAAAACAAAAACCTACCCTTAAGATTAGCCTCGCATATGTTGCTAAACTCACATTTCACCTTTTGCTCCATCCACAGTGAGTTATTTGTAACTACTCAAATGCACTCTCTCACTTCTCTGTAACTATACTTGCCACTTTATCTGCTTTCTCCTTGCTAATTCCTCCTCGCCCTTCAAGATTCACCTCCAATGGCAAGCTTTAGGGTGGGATAAGTATGCCTTTGTGCTCCCTTAGCACCTTGTCCAGACCTCTCCCACAGTGATTTTCCCAATACTGAACCTGTGTTTATCTTACTCCCTCATCAGACTCTATCTCCTGTGCCCTGTTCAAAGTAGATGCTCAATAAAAGCTTGCTGAAATGAAAATCAAATAGTTGCCTCAAAGGTTACTGTGAGTATTAAATACACTATCTGAAAAACACTTACCACAGTAGTATGTATCCACCTCCTAGGGCATTGTGAAGAATACATATGATAACAAATATAAAGTGCATGTTACATAGTAGCCACTCAAATGCTCCAAACAACAAACTTATGACAAAGCTAAAAGAATTGATTTACTCAGCAGGTATGATATTTATGAATCTAGTTGTTACAACACATGATACAGGTTAAAAAGAACTAGTTACAAAAAAGGTTCAGGTTGACTAATCAAAGTAGTTTGTTTATGGGAAATTTGGAGGGCAGGGGCTGATCTTGTTACTTTGAGTCCCTAGCACATAGTAGGTGTCTGTTGAATGAAATGTTCTGGTGCATTTCTTCAACGAAGACTATTGAGTCCTTGAAGAATGGAAGAGATACCCACTCCCTCAAAAACTCAGAATCAAAGAATGCCAGAGGTGGAAAGAGCCTTAGAGATCATCTAGTCTAGGGGTCAACAAACTATAGCCTGTTTCTGTACAGCCTTTCAGCTAAGAATGTTTTTTACACTTTCAAAGGGTTTGTAAACACACATGAATATGTGACAGACAGTATGCAGCTCACAAAACCTAAAATATTTACTATCTAGCCCCTTACAGAACAAGTTTGCAGGCCTTTGATCTAATCCAGTCTCTTCATTTTGTGAAAAAAGTGGTGAAGTAACTTGTCCAAGATCAGTCAGTAAGTTAGGGAGGAAGGCCTGGATCCAAAGCTAGATTTTCCAGCTCTTTGTATGAACTAGGGTCAAATTTGTTCTAAAGTACATGTTAAACATGTACATATATAAAGTAAGCGTTAGTTTTATTTGTTCTAAAAATGATTCAAGTAGGAGTTTTTAAATAGTGACTTTAGACGTGAATTCAGGCAAACAGACCCCTGGAAAAAGTATGGGTTTTGTAACAGAGAAACACAAGTTCAAAATCCACCTAGTTTCATAGTAGTACCTTTGATGACTGAGAAAGTTACTTAACTTTTTCTGAGCCTCTGTAGTCTTAACTATAAAATGGGGTTAATAGAACCTTTACTGCAGGTTTAAAAAGAGAGTATCATATAACTAGTGTTCAATAAACTGACGTTTCCCTTCCCTTCTTATCCAGGGTCATACTGGCCAGGCTTTTGGGCAATAAATTAGACTGAATGATCTAGCATCCATTGTCAACTCATTATCCCGAGGTGGGACGTTTCCCATTTCAGAGTACAGGAGTCCCCGGAAGTAAAGAGAATGGAAGTCAGGTGGGCAGACTCAGCTAGAGAATGGAAGCCCAGAACAGGGCAAGAGGGAGAGCCAAGAAGCAAAGGACATGAGGCTGAGACAGTGCGGGAAGGGCTACGATGCTAGGAGACAAACTCCAAACCAGGAAAGGAAAACTTGGAATTAAGTTTGGGGTAAAGAGATCTGGGTTTCCTGATTCCTACCCTAGGAGATGAATGTACCTGGGCTGGCCAGACAGGACGCCTCGTGAAAGGACAGAGAACGCACGCCATTCCTTACCTGCTGCCTAAGTCCACGGCCACGGCTCGAGACCCCGCGCCACCCCATAGTGCTCGCACCTGCATCTGGGTGAGCGCCCGATCCCGGCCTGGCAGACGGAGGGGACCATCACCCAGGGGCCGGAGCCGGAGGCACGAGCAGCAATGCCTGCAGGCCGCCATGACACCCGGCACGCGATCAACCCGGGCTGCGCCCTGATTGGCTCACTCTGCAGATAGTGCGGCGGAGCTTGATGCAGTTTCGTTTCCGTGGTGCTTCTGGGGAACGCCGCTGAAGCGGAAACTTTGGCCGTTTTCTACGAAGACTAGAGAGGGTCAAACCTGTCTGAACGCGATTGTGACACCGTATCTTTCCTCTTTCAGTATCTGCCAATGAAAGTCAGTTATAAAACTAACGGGTATTTTTGTTTGTTTTTTGCTATTGTAGTTTAAAAGAAAGTCCTAGAAGAATGCTTTTAATAAGTAGAGTAAATATGGTAATAATAGAAGTCATCAGACAACACATTATTACTATATGGCCTCTGTGAGATAAGAATTAGGAGAATTTGTGTGGTGGATCATGGAAAGAGATCTCTCTCTGCCCTCCTCGGCCCTGGTTTTTATTTTATGAATTTCACACAACAAATATTTTACTGCAAAGGTTTGCATTAATTTATTTCTAGTAAGTTGATTTCATTTCTTATTGACCTATATCATTATTTTAGATATCTTTATCGTTATTTTGATTCATCATTTCCATTGTTAATGTTTAAAAATTCATTTCTCTGCCCTTTTTGGTCAAATGTTAATATTTTCTAGACCAACTCTTAAATGCAAAATGTCAGCTTTATATAAAAAATGTTTTGGAAAATGAAAAAAATGTTTTTGGAATTTGACAAAATGTTAGCAGGTGGATAAATTTCTCCCACCCCTCTTAATCCAGTCTGTTAGAAAATCTTTGAATGAACCAATGACCATTTTTCTATTATGAGAGTCTTATTTCTCTTTTAAGGTTATAAATCCCTTCCCAAAAGATATCCAAACAAAACCCAACACACACTCCAGCATGGTTTAAGAACTAAAAATGTGGCACTCCAAACAGAAAAATGATTTGGTGGCAAGGCAGCCACCTTTGCTTTCCTGACTCCTTGCTTTCATGAGCTATTATCACTGATTTGGAATTTCCATGCCAATTGAAGGGATTACGACAACTCTGTCTATGGGTATTTAGTGTTAAAGTAGTCTTTGCCTCTTCCTCCACCTTTGTGTTTACCTTATGTTGCCACTGTGTTTTCAAGACCAACCCATTGAAACCTATCATGATGACAAGTCTGTCAGAATCTACTTGCCATAATACAACATGACTTTGGATTTACAAAAAAAGGAATACTAAATCACCTTTTGGTAATGTGCTTAAGTACCATATCATCATTTTCATTCAGGCGTATTGCCTAATAGTTCAGAGCATAGACTTGCAGTTAGTCCTGAGTGGTCCCAATCTTGGCTCTGTCGTTTACTAGTTATGTGACCCTGGCTCTCTGAACTTCAGTTTCTTTGTCTATAGAAATGGATAATATTGTGAATCTCACAGGGTTTTTGTAAAGATTAAGTGTGATAGAGGATGTAAGAGGTTTGTCACAGTATCTGGCACACTGTCAGAACTATAAATGGTAGATCCAGCTTTGATCCAGCCGTTTCTTAATTTTCTCTTTAATCTCCTCTGAAATACCAAACAACCGTCTTTCCTTTAGAATACATGGATCAGTTAGCTTTCATCCAGCTGCTAATGCTAGAAGGCACCATTTACATGTTAAGCCCACCTGTTTCCTCACACCAATACAAAATAATTGAAATGGTAGTAAGTGGATCAGAAACTCAAAGGCAAAAGTGGGTTCTGAAATCTTGTGGCGTAGCTTTGTTATGAAGTAGTCATACAGATGATCCAGGAGTTTATACTAAGCTTTTTAAGATTAACATAGAAATAAAAATATAAAAAGTTTAAATTCTTGTGGTTTTAATTACTGAAGCTATGATCCGTGAGGTTCAATCTGAAATGTGACATTCTAGAAGTATAGTTCTGCACAGTATTGTTTGACAGCCAAAGTGTAATTTAAAAGGAATTTCTTTACCTATAAGTCTTCAAGGACATTAAAAGTGATCCAGTTTAAATTCATCAGCAGTGTTTCTCAGATCTCCTTTTCTCTTTTCTTCAAACTCCAATGAACCTGCATCAAAAAAGTTAATACCACTACATGCTCTGAGTAACAATTTCATTTAAGTGAAACATCATTGCATTAAATTATTGTTAATTGAAATTTAATTTGGTTTGCAGTTTGGTTTAGACAGTAGATACATTTATTTTAGTTTTATGACTGTCTAAGAGCTACAAGAATAAGGAGTTTATGTCTTGTTATATATTTCCAAGTACTTAAGCAACATAAGAAGTATCAGCAGACACTGAAGGAGTCCCTGAAAATTTTTTCTCTGGAAAGAATGTAACCTACTCAACTTTAAGAAAGACTGCTCTACACCATTGGCAGAGGGATCTTTCTGAATCGTAAATCTAATTGTGTCTCCATCCTGATTGTTTCTTCAGTGGCTTCCTAAATCTTTAATCTACAGGATAAAATCTAAACTGCTTGTGTGGGTTCTAAGTATTTCCTATTTAGCCTCATCGATTTCGACTTACTACCCTATTTCCCTCCCTCCCTCTCCTCATTTTATTTGCCAGGTAAACTGAACTACTTGTTCTGCTCAAACATACCACCCTCTCTCCTGCCTCTGTGTCTTTGCATGTAGGATTCTCGATGCTTGGCACCCATTCCCTTCCATGTATTAATCTGTCAAACTCAGTTTTCAGGTCTCAGCTTCATTACTATCCATTCTGATTTCCCCAGGCTGACTTATGGGTACAATTTATGTCTGTCCTTCCACTTAATTAATTCATATAGTCATATTTCATGCATGGAAGTGAATGTGGGAGTAGGTGTTGCATAGTGATTAAAAGTGCTGGCTCTGTCATTAGATTGTCTAGGTTTGAATCTCACCTCTTTCGCCTCCTAAACATGTGACTCTTGGTAAGTTGCTTACCCTTCCTATGCCTCAGTTTCATTTCTGAAATGACAATGATAACAGTACCTACCTCTTGGGATTATTATGCAGATTTAAATGCAATCTCATTTTTATGGAACTAAGCATAGTCCCTGGCACATGGAAAACGTAATAAGGTTTTATAATATTTATTGAATACCTGAGTTATGCCAGGCATTATGCTAGGCTTAGGGGATATAGGGGTATTGAGACAGTCATTGGACATAATAATCCCTGCTTTTTGGAGCTTGCAGTCTAGAATGAGAGTCTGACAAAAACACAACCAAACAAATAAACAGAAAAATTAGACTGTGATTAAGGCTAAGAAGGAAATAAACTAGGTGCGAAGATTGAGAATAACAGGTTGGAGGGAGAACTTACTTCAAGTAAGATGGCTAGGGAAAGCCTTCCTGACGAGGAGACATTTAAGCAGCTCTGAAGGATAAGAAAGAGACAGCTTCTGAAACATGGGGGCCAGGTGGGAGCAGCAACTTGCAGGGAGGAGGGTTGCCCCTGAGTCAGGAAAGAGTTTGGCTTCTGTGAGGACACGGAATGGCCAGTGTGGCTAGAGAACAGTAAGTAGGAGTATTGCAGAGATGGAGTAGGAGAGAAAGGCACTGGAAAGTTTAAAGAGGGAAGTAGCATGATCTAGTCTACATTTTAAGATGGTCCCTCTGGCTGCTGAGTCCAGAATAGATTGGAGGAGGACAAGAGAGAAGCGTAAAGATTAGGAGTAATAGGGTGGCAAATGTGACAAGGAGAAAGGATGGACAGATTTGGAATATATTTTAGCGTTGGAATTGATAGGACTTGCTGGTGAATTGGATACTGGGAGAGGGGAATTAAGGCTATTAATAAGCTTAGATGGGTCAGAAATGCAGTATCTGGGGTACTCAAGAGTAGCTGTCAAGACAGTTGGATCTTAGCGTAGGACTCAAGGAGACGACTAGAGTAATATGTGAGTAATCAGCATACCAATGACATCACAAGCCATGGAAATGCCTGATATCACCTAGAGAGATGGTAGGGAGAAAAGAGAAGAAGGCCTGGGTCTAAGTCCTGAGGAGGGAGAGGCTGCCAAGGCTGTGGAGATGGAGCCAGTGTTGATGCAGGAGGAAAGCTAGGATGTATTATTTTGGGTATTTTCCATTTGCACCCACTCCATCCATTCACTACCCTTCTCAGCTCTGCTCTGTGCCCCAAGTGGCTGATATATGGATTGAAACACCCCAGCTCCCTGGCCCTCTGACTTTTGATTGGGTCAGCCAACAGGAGGCACCAGCAGGATATCAGAGGGCAAGAAGAGAGAGAAACTAAAAATATGGAACCATAATTCTTTATGGTGTGGCATTGACTGCATCCGCCTGTCACTACAGCACTTGCCAGGTGGCCCAGCTTTCTTGGCTCTAGCTATCACTCCAATTACACTGTTTCTTCTCCTTGCCACTTCAAGCCTTAACAGTTTCCCACTGTTGCTTATCCCTCTGTGCCTCAGCATTCTAATTGTTAGTTTCAGAATCTAGTAAATAGTCTGTAAATAGCCCTTTCACTAAATTCTCTTCAGAACTCATCTGAGTATGCCCTCTGTTTCCTGCTTCCCTGTGCACTGCTCCTCAGAGAGGGTCTTTCTGTACACTCTCCCAGCAGTAGACCACTGTTACTTGTTCCTAGAAGGTTGTTACCCTGGAGATGGGAGCTGAGGGGCCATGCTGTTCTAATTGACCCTCAGTCTTAGGAAGGTATTGTGTCCCTGGTTTTTGGGTGGGAGTAGCATCTCTGTGCTCATGCCCCTCTCCCAGCTGTAATTCTGGGCCCAGCATGTATTCTGCTGCTTCTGCAGGGTGTAAAAGGTTATGTTCTATTCCTTCTCTCACCTGGGGGTTTTCCCAGTGCCTTAGGGTGATAGTATTTGCTACCTTCTCACAGTGTATAAGGCTTTTATTCCTTATATAGGAGAGGTAGGGGAGAAGGATCCAGTGGGGCTTCCACCTTTCCTGCAGTGGCTTCTGTCCTTCTTCCCCAAGCCTGCATCATGAGGGACACTTTCTCAGGACTCTTGATCTTACCCTAGTCTTTTTTGTGAGTGCCCAGTGAGGTCTACAGAGAAGATCCTGTGAGTAGTTGCCA